GTTGTTTATATCTACTGCGGCTCTTATGTTGCTACCCCCGCTCTTGGTTCCGCCGGTGCCATGATCAAGAAGGTTGCCTATGGTCTTGCCCTGCCCGGTCTTATTGCCTCGACCACCCTCGTCATTCACGTAAGCACCTTCTTCCCCTCTCAATAGTATCCATTAGATAACTAACAAGTACACAGTACTCTGCCAAGTACGCTTTCGTTCGCATGCTCCGCGGCTCTAAGCATCTCACTTCCAACTCTCTTACTCACTGGGTCACCTGGATCGGCTGCACCACCACTGCCACTATCATTGCCTACCTCATCGCCAGTGGCATTCCCGTCTTCGGTGGTCTCGTGTCCCTCGTCGGCGCTCTTCTCGGAACCCTGATGTCCTTCCAGCCCATGGGTTGCATGTGGCTCTACGACAACTGGAGCCGTCGCCGTGAGGCTACCCTTAGCTGGTACCTGATGGTTGCTTACAGCGTCTTTGTTGTCGTCTCTGGCACCTTTTTGATGATTGGTGGAACGTACGGTTCTATTGTTGGTATCATCGACTCCATGAAGGAGACTGGTGGCTCGCCAGCCTGGGCCTGCGCCGACAACTCCAACTCTGTCTAAGCTTTGACTACCTTGTTTTCTTGCTGAGTATTTAGCCTGTAATTGATATTTGCGAAGCGTTGCTTTACTGCGCTCTGCTATTGGAGAACCTCAAGTTCCAACCTAAAGACAGCTCGCCTTCCTGTGATTGATATCCTCCAATTGTTGTTGCCAAGGACGTCTCTCTTCCCAGTTCTCGGCCCAATTCCAGCACCAAGAGATTGACCACAAGACCCCCTAGCCCCCTAGCCCAGTGGCCAACACCAAGACACAGCTGAACTCCATTGAAAGTGGATTGAAACAGGCGCTGACGCCACTTCGGTTGTTATCGTGAGGCTCCGCTGCAAACTTTGCCTCCTGTGGAAAATGTCTCAGAACGCTGCCACTGCCCTTGGCGGTAGCCACTTTCTCCGGTATCGGCTACTATTTTGTATCGCGCGTTGCCCGGTCGGTTCTTCTCAATGGCCTCAATTATGCCACACAGACTACGTCATACCCGGGATATGCTTCCTGACTACTTGGCACATGAGACCATGAAGAACTGAACTATTTTGAGTGACTCGTTCAGCTTTGTTGGTGGTATTGGTGGACTTTGTTTGGTGGTTTCGGATCGAGACTGGAAATCAGGGAGACATTTCACCATAACAGCATCACCTAGGAAAGGGTTAGACCAACGGACCTTCAACACCAAAACCCTTAGCACTCAAGAGCATCGTCTTCCTGGAATTGAATGAGATGTCTCCTGTCGATGCTAGGGCACAAGTATCACGTATGCTTCTCCTCGATCATCCAAAAACGGTTCAGGTTGCGTGGTCTAGTTGGTTATGGCATCTCGCTCACACCGAGAAGGTCCCCGGTTCGATCCCGGGCGGAACCACTCTTTTTGCCTATATCGCTGATATTTCTTTTTGGATTCGCATCTTCTTGATGGAGTCAAACATTTCGCCTTCTTTTTCTTTCATCTGGCGCTGATTTGGATGTTCAACGACTGCCAGGATCACTCAGGTTGCACAAGAAATGCAAGCCTCTTTTGTGTCAATGTCCTAGCCAAAACCGCCAATGTGCACGACATCTCTCTCGATTTAATTAACGAAAAAGAACATTTTCTTGTACTTTGTCAACGTTACCAACTCGTTGGTCATCATGTTTCCATGCAGTAATTTCTGAAAGGGCACGATTGTGTAGTATTCTCATGTGGGTTTGAGGGAGAGCCTCGACACCACCATGAGTGGTTGATGCCCAATACGTATGCACGACAATAGCGTTTGGAGGCGTTGAACACGCAAAAGACGAAGATTCAAGCAGCTTACCTCGCTATGTCGGCTTGTATTTCCCTTAGCAAGATGTGGTGTATGATATCACGACAACCCTTGACCACAATGGAAGCATTTAGCTGATGATATATGGTTACCTGCGTCTGTGAACGCTTTACTTCACAGATGGTACCTTCCGCAACTGGCTCATTTGTAAGTCGAAGAGTGCGGATGGAAACTTTTCATAATGCGTAACATACACAGAAAAAAAAACATGAAAGGGCCTAATGATGCTCTCTGCGTGTATTCAAGCGGCTACTATCAGCTCACACAAAGCTTTCGTTCAATGAAACCACCCACTCACACGCATGCACTGAGACAATCTGGGCCAAAGTTCCGAGATTACCCACATTAAGCAAGTCGCCGGAATTTTCTTGGCCAGGATGAAAATGTCTATTCCGTTTGTAACATAGCGTTCTTGTCGGTAGATACCCGTGTGCCTTAAACTGTGTTCTGGGTACATCCCAAAGCCTCACTCAGACTTTACGGGCTTGGTGTGTTCTACGACGAGAGATTTCTGGGTGTTCGAGATCCCAGCTAGTCTTTCATTCCATTCCTGATAAGTGTCCATGCTAACTAGTACATAGACGCCCTCGTTGCTCTTTTGTCGGTGGCTGTGTCTTAGAAATGCTATGCTTAGGTTCGTCATTACGACGTAGATCGTAGGTTTATCATAATTCTCTTTTCAGATATCCTTGAATATATGAACAAAGCGATTGAACTCATGCTGAGAGAAGGGACACTATCGAGGTGTGTGGCGGATTTGATGCTATCGCGGGCCGAGCCGGTGAGGGACCTGAGACGGCGGCTAACACAACGCCCTGTCGGTTTAACCGTAAGTGGGCGAATGGTCCGAGAACTAGTTATACCACGGGTTACATCCCTATCTAAGCTTGTTTTGTTTCCGAGGTTTGCCCCAGGTACGGTTGCATGGTTGCTTTTTCGTTGATGTATTTGCTTGTTTGGGTACTTCTTGAGGCATGCGTGCCCTGTTCCCCCATCAGTTTTCTAGTGCGGATAATTATTTCATCATCTCGAGGAGACTATTGGAATTTGCGTCCATCTTCGATATTTTAAAGATGTTGGATCGTTAACGAAACTGGACGAGTCCCAGGGCTACCTCTCTCTCAGCGTTGCGCTGCCCACCTCATCGCCATTTCTGTAATTATTACAGATAGCTTAGGTGCAACCCAATGAATCAAACAGTATACTATGATCATATTTTAAAGGATAGAGATGAAACTTGCCGACAAAGCAAACTCCGATATACAGGTAGAACTACATTCAAGCATTATGCAATACCCTGGGGTTCAAGACCACGGGAATATCCTGTCGAACTTCAATGCGTGTGATCTGCCAACTGCCTGGGCTTCTTCATTTCCGTTACTACTGTTGCTACTTTTTCTTTTGGACTCTCATTAATGCTGTCATTCTTCTTTGTTTGTAACGCGACGAGATTGGTGACGAGAGGTAATGATACCCTGACGGGCAAGGCTCGCCGTGGCCCCAGGTCGAGATTGAGGAGGCGGGGAAATAGTTTGGCGAGATTTTTCGTGAGAGTCTTCCATCTGTTCAGAAGAATCGAAAGCTGCTCTGTCTGCGATTTGATGATCATCGCCAATGCTGTATAGAACCATGTTTATCCGCTTCTACCCAGACCAAACTTCGGTCTAGGCCGGTTTCGCCGAGCTTGACCGGGAAATTGCCGAACTTACCGAGACTTGGCTTGTCGTTTCCTCCCTATGAGGGGTTCCCTAGCACATCTGCAGCATCGGTACTTGAGACTGCAAAAGGCCCTGTTTATCGCCCGCAACACTGTAAAATCTGTCATTCATTGATCAATTGGCCTCGCTTGAGAGTGTTTGCTTTGAATCATGTCGTTTGTGACCCGCCTCAGATCATCCGGCGTGCTCCGGCCTCTGTCTGCCGCGTCGAGAACCCAACTGCGCTGCTACTCATGCACAATTCCTCGACAGAGCCAGGATAATTCTGCTGTCCCCAAAGATACAACACCACTCGATTCAAGATGGTTTTCTAACCTCCAGGCGCGAATCGAAAAATTGAGAAGTCCCAAATACCCAGCCGAATGCGTCTCGCAAGCCGAGAAACTCTACCAGCATACCACAACAGACTGGATCGAGCTCTTGGGAGGCAGAGAAGGCTTTCTTACTGATAAGAGCTGGAGAGCTTTGGACCATTATCCATTGCTCTGGGGTGACATGGTAAGTGTGCGCCTATAGTTACAGTGACTGGGCAATTGCTAACAACGCTTGCTTTAGGATAGCATGGTATGTAGCCTCGATTGTTCCTCACATAGATGATACTAACGAGATTGGCAGGGTATGTTGTAAAAGATTCGTGTTCAACACCTAGCTACGTTATGCTGACTGCTCTAGGCCATGTAAACAACGTGATGTATAACAAATACGTCGAAACCGCAAGGGTTCGATTTGTTAAACACCATGCAGAAGACGCCACTACCGAGGAGGAACGGAGACAATGGAATGACTTACCTACACCGCGAAGCCTGGGCCTTATTCTGAGGCGCATCACAACCGAGTTTAAACTTGTATGTGACCACCCTCACAATCGATGTCCCGAAAGTCGACTAATGCCGTTTGTCCAAACAGCCATTGACATTTCCCGATCATATCACCGTCCTCTACAGGTTGTCTGAGCGCCCACGTTATGATTCTACCTCGCTCCTGATGGAAGGATGGATCTTATCAGACCAGCATCGCCGACTGGCTGCAAAGTGTATTGACGACACGGCCATCTACGACTACACGACTAGCAAGAGATCGGTGCTGAAGCCGTTCATGGTTGAAAAGTTTCAAGAAACATACGACAGACAGATGGAATCTCAGATCAAGTGCGACAAGGACGCAAGGGATGTAATTGCGGCTGTTGAAGGCCTCGAGAGACAGTTTCAATGAAGGATTGCTCGCTGTCGTACACGAGAGTTTAGAATGCCAGGAAACTTGGCTTGAGCCATACTCCAAAAACTCAATTTGCTGGCGTGGTTCATATTGTGACACCACACCTAGTATGGAGAAGCCATCGAGACAAGAGATACAAGCACAAATGAAGACACAAGAAAGAATCAGCCCGCTACCTTCCGAAACATCCTCTCGGCCTTGTCTTCAATCTATAAAAATGAGCTCCTCGTCGGTAGATTGGAGATAGAAGCCGGCTTACAGATGGGTAGCGCTTAAATGTGAGCCACACAACCATTGTCAGCCCCAGAGTTGAAAACGCAAAGGGGAGGTAAATCCACCAGGGCGGGTTTGACTCTAGAACGTTGACATTCATACCGAAAAGACTCTGCATCTTCGTTAGAGCTCCCTTATGCGGGCTTTTTGACTGTGAAACTTACCGAAACAAAAGTCAGTGGGAGAAAGATGAACTAGTCCCATATCCCGTCAGTTAGCTTTTCTCCGGGTGGCTGGGATACGCACCGTGATCCAGCTGAGACGCTTCATGCTCACGCTTGTTGACGTGGACTTTTGAGCTTCCCTAATGGAGGTCAAGTTGAATTCCTAGAGTTTCCGGTCACCACTGCGTTGATTGGGGGGTTTCATTTGACTTACCAGCCCAATAAGCTCTTGAGACGTGTCTCTTAGATTCTTGACACCTGCCGCGAGATAATCGCAAAACTCACTAACCGCGGCACCGAACCTTTCCCAATCTTCTATGTCGCTCGGATCACGGACTGGGATTTTTCTTTCTTGTGGCTTCCAATGTTGGCCCACAACGAACAAGGCTCGCAATTCAGATAGGTCGCTCTTCTGCTCGTTGGCAATCTCCTCTACTTGAACCCATGACAATGCGTCTTCGAGGAGACGGTCGATGACTTGAGGGTCTTTTCCTCTGGACTTTAAGATTGTCGAACGCTACATAAAGTTTAGCAACAAAAGAATCACGCCCAAGCGTTTAAATTTAAGAAGAACTTGCCATTTCAAACTGGCTGTCGTTGGGCATCTTAAACGCACCCATCCATTCCTCCCTTAGAGTTTGTAGAAGCGGGTTAAGCAATTTGCATACATTGAACGCCGGCTCTACGTCTTGGCAGCTGGTTATGAGAGCTGTCGTTTTCAGCATCATGTACCTGGTTCCATCCCATCCATCGTGACCTTCGCCCGACCACACCATTGTCCACAAGAGAACATGGGAACGACGAGCGAGCTCGATGCTGCTACTGCCTAGTTGCGTATAGGACGAAAAAAGCTGGTCGCCTGCGTTTTTTGGGCGTAGCCTGGGATAGGTTGTGATGAATTGACAGTCAATGAAATCTAATGGTCAAACCTTTCAGCCAATCCTTTCACTGTACAGAGAGAGACTTCTAGCCCCTAGTGGTTTTGCAATGAGGGAACTAGAACTTACCGTGCAAAGTGGAATCGCCTCTGAGCGTTTCAAAGTCGGACTTTGTCGGCATCCAGCCCTGGCGCAGTTTCCACTGGACATTAGGATAGCGTGTGCCTTCAGCGCGATGCCACCGCGAACAAGAGAGGCCCCGTTTTTGAGTGGGCAGACATTGGTGTTCGTTAAGTATCCTAACGGATCCGGGCGTGTTAGTATGTGAATGCATGAGGAAAACGTCTTCTCACAATAGGCTGGTTGTGTTGACATTTGGTTCTCGACTTGGGAGCATCTGGAAGAGTAAAAAGCGGGTGAAGGTTGATTCGGATGTCTCCGAAGCCTTCAGTCTGTTCAGATCGCTGGTCGTAATAAAGCTTGCGCCTCTCTCATTGTAGAGGATATGTGTCTCGGGCCTGTCCAATACATATCTCGTCGTTTCAGCCCATCGCGACATGTCCACTAAAGCCGCTGGAAATACTATCTGGGCCACATCATAAGTGTCGAAGTTCTCAAAAGAATTCCGCAGGGCGGTGAAGCCCAAGATGTCAGAAATGTCGGCCCTGGCCCCATTGTCTACGAGGAGTTGGGAAATCTCGCATTCGGTACTTTTAGGAGTAGAGCATCCCTTTGCATTGATACCAAAGCGACGTCGGGCCCAATCGAAGGGATTATGGTAAGTCTGGGTTGCGTAGTGCAGCGGAGTTCGGCCCCAGATGTTTTGGTGATCGATCATCTCCTTCGCAGGCGACTCAAGCAGGCGTTTCAAGGTCCGTCCATTTCTGTAAGAGACGGCGACGTGGAGAATAGTCATGTCAGAGTCAAGGCGTTGATCTGGTGGCAGTTCAGCCTCGTTCCGCACGTATCCTCCCTGCACCATGAGGTCCATCACGTCGTCAAGGTCATTGCCCACGGCTATTGCCAGTGCGTTTTGATGGGTACCACCCCTACTGTAAATACTCGCGCCATTGTCTAGAAGCATGCGAACGCACTCGATTCGAGGCTCTGCCACTTTCAGCGCAATTTGTAGGACGGTGCCTTCCCTTGGGAGCCAGCTGTTGACGTCAACGCCTTTGTCAATGAGGCCCCGAACAGCCTCAATGTCTCCTTGCTGGATGGCATTCTTGAAGGCAGCGAAATCTGATGGGTCAGGGGTGATTGAGGTAGGGTTGGCCGGGTTGGAGGTTTCAGTTGGCGGATCCCCCGGGGTGTCGATCACTAAAGCGACCATTGCTGCCGGTATTTGGAGTTGAAAGAAGCATGATTGAAGCCCAATCCAACAAGGCATGAATCAGGCTCAGCTGAATTCTTACCCCTGTCACTTGCTGACTTAATAGTTCTTGGTTCAGCTGTTCCCAGCCTGCATCAACTTCTCGCCAGGCCCCAGCCACAATATGTGTGATAAGCCACATCTTGGCACCAGCAACGCCGAACGGCTCCTCGAGGAGAAAGAACCCAAGGCAACTTGCAAGCGGTGGTACTGAAATAATGCGTATGATAGTGTTCTAGCTTACCATATATCTTCCTAGTAGTTGCAATTTACCGTTATAAAATATAGTATTGCTCAAGACAAACAGTGAATACCCTGCATACTCTGGGTGCTGAGGCCCAACCGCTTGCACAATTCGCAGACGGAGACGTGTGCTGTTCGCCACGAGGACGCTCTGAAATATATGGGCCAGGATCTGGAGTTATTGATTGGGATCAAAACCACATGGGAGGTATTCACAAATAGTCCAGGCGCCGAGCTCTTGGTTAAACTAGAGGGTGAGCTCGATGGATGACGGTGAGGCCACTGTGAGAACCACACGAACATCCCGACCGAAATGACGAAGTAATAGCAACAATCACATCATGACCATGTAGAGTTGCAGAAGGTGCATAACGTTACAAATGAACTCGCTTTCGTATTAAGTAGGTAGGTTTGTTGTATCATCATGTTGTGGGCCACCTCTACTCCCTATTGGCCTCGTGGAACGAGGTTCTCACCACATCCACCGTCTTTGCAATACCCCTAGATCCATGAATATCAGGATCGCTCTCCGCATCGCTTCCCTTCAAAGATTCAATGATACGTCGCTCATCGCTCTTTCGTCCAGTCGTTGTCTCAGGGCCACTGACGGAAACAACCTGATGTGTTCTCGTTGTGCCCCTCCAGAAGCTCGGGTGGGCGCTGGCAGACATATTGGATAGGTTGTATCCCTTCGAGTGATCACCAGGTCCGCTAAAGTAGTTGGAACTCTTCTTTGTGGATCCGAAAATGCGTGGGAACAGCTTGCCCAAAGGTCGTCGAAGAACAGGCAAGCAGGCGCTGATGATTCCGAGGTTGGCTTCAATCAACGTCCACATTCCGCGCTCGATAAAGTTGTAGGTCATGTCTTCTTTGTTCTTGAGCGAGTTTTGTACCGACGTCGTTCGAAGGATGGATGCGATGGTGACACTGAACAACATGTTAGCTTGGACTTGCACTGCACAAAGGATACTCACAAGCCGCCCAGGAGGAAGACGCCGCAGAGCATCAGCCTCTCTCGCATATTCATCTGAAGGCGCATTATGGAGCCAATCGGAAGAGTCAAGACCATGATGTCGGTGAGAATGTTCATGACGGCGTAGGCGATCCAGAACTTGTTGGAGTCGATACACTTGGCATCAATCGCCTTGTTCCAGGCACCCTCGATGGGAACGCATTGCCAGATTGTTGCACCTACTCCACCAATACTCCAGCTGACAATGATGCCCATAACCACATAGCAAGCGACGCGGAAATTCTTGGTGGGAAAAAGGCGTAGGTAGAGAAGGATGGCGGCCACCTTGTTGAGGCAGACAGTCACCTTGTAGGGAGTCTGCGCGATAAAGAACATTTTGAGTGCTGTGCGTAGCTCTGGTTTCTTGAGATCGACCTTGTGCATTCCGTATCCGTTCTGTACCGCCAGCTGCATGGCAACAGAGACGATTATTGACGACATCTACCTCCATAGTTAGATGTGAAAGATCAGCAGAGAGATTCGCCTTACCAGAGAAACAACGATTGCCGCATCGTCAGATCCTAGCTTGTGCATGAAAAAACGCGTGGAGCACCTGGCGATCACAAACAGGCCTGCTGTGATGATCATCACCAAAGATGTAATGTACAGCTTCCAGCCCTGGTTATCGACCCCGTTATCGGGGAACCCCATACCATAGGCACCCATTTTGACGCTGTTGCTGTTGCTATTGAGTGAGTTGACCTCGAACCAGAGGTTCGACTGCGTCTCAAGTTCATATATGAATCCTGCAGAGGCGGTGGAGTGACTGCCATCTTGGTCGTGGTGCCATCACAATGTTCGCCCTTCCTCTAGTTTCACCCAAGAACGAGTCGGATGTGATATACGGGCACCTTTTTCTCAACCCGAGGTCACATCGGCCCTTGCAGAAGCAAGCAAGTCCTTACCGAACATCCCGCCCTGGTCTCTGCGTCGGCTCTCGCGTGGCACAGCGGAAATGACTGCCCAAAGAGACAACGGACCCTCTTTTTGACAAGGTGGCTGTACCAGGTGTTCATGCGGCAGTGTGGCACGACTAGACGGTCGTTCGAGTGGAATGGCATTGGTGGACTATAGAATTGTCAATAGGGGCGTTATTGGTGGGCTAAGACCCGATGGATTGGTCTCAATTCTTCCGATGTCACCTATGCGGCACTTGTCCCCCTACATATGGTGAGGTCTCCCCTGCCATGGTCACCGTCTCCCCGGGTCTCTAATCACGCATATGTACGCCAAGTCGACTGACATGACGCGGTAGGAAAGGGGAGCGACATAGCCCCTGTGAACCGAGACAGGGACAACCATGCAGCTGGAGCCCGCTCCCGTGGTCTCGGATAGAGCATTGATACCGACGCACGTGGCTATCCGACCTGGAAGACGATAAAGCCAGCTCATTCCCGACCACAACTTAGACTCTCGGTAAGCGACTCACAAGATGCTCTTCACAACCCTTGCTCTATGGGCCAGCCTCGCGGCTGCTGCCCCCGTGTGCGACACCACCAACTTCATCACCGTCGACACATCCAACGGTCCCATCACGGGTCACCTCGCTGACAACTCGGCGTGCGTGGTCGAGTACCTGGGCATCCCGTATGCAAAGCCCCCCGTGGGCAAGCTGCGCTTTGCTCCCCCTGAGCGCTTCAACTCTAGGGAACCCTACAAGGCGGAAAAGTTTGGCTATGACTGCCCCTTGTCGCCTAGCAAGAAGGTCGACTATCCTGATATGACGCCTCAGGCGCAGGATATTATTTCCTACTTTGCTAGCAACGCCGGCACTCCTCAGAGTGAAGACTGTTTGACTTTGAACATTTGGTCCAAGGCCACGTCCAACTCTGCCAAGGCCAACAAGCCAGTGCTGGTGTTTTTCTACGGCGGGCGTAAGTATCACTCGATCCTTTGATCCATTCTACACCATGCTGACTCTCCAGGCTTCGCTATTGGAAACACCAACAGCCCTTTCTACAACGGCAAGTACTTTGCCGATTCTGAGGATATTGTTGTTGTGACCGTCAACTACCGCATCAACATCTTTGGCTTCCCCGGAGGCCCTGGAGAAGCTAACCTTGGTCTCCGTGATCAGCGTGCTGCCGTTGAATGGATCCGTGACAACATCTGGCGATTTGGCGGCAGCCCTACCAAGATCACCATTGCTGGCCAGTCTTCAGGTGGCGTGGCCGTTGATTACTGGACCTACGCCTACCAGAAGGACCCCATTGTCAACGGTATTATCGCCCCTTCTGGAAACGCGTTTAGCTTCCCTGTCAACGCCGAGGGCGTCCCTGAGAAGAACTGGAACACGGTTGTCTCCGCCGTCGGATGTGGAGATGCCCAGGATGTCATGGCCTGCATGCGCGAGGCCGACTGGGAGGACATCAAGGCGGCCGCCGCCACTGTCAGGCCTACTTCCAGCTCTAGCGTCCTGCGGTCCATCCCTCCCTTCTACCCCAAGCCCGACGGCAAGCTTGTCTTTTCCGACTATGTCAGTCTGACCAAGGCTGGCAGCTTTGCCAAGGTTCCCGTCCTTATGGGCCACAACCACAACGAAGATGGCTACTACCGTATTCCCGCCTACGGCAACGGCGTCACTCCCACAGACGCCCAAGTCACTTCATTCCTCCTCGAATCCTTCACCTGCCCTGTATCCTACCAGGCCAAGGCCCGGCGTGACCACGGTGTTTCCGCGTGGGCCTATCGATACCTTGCCGACTGGGATAACACGCGTCTCTTCCCTACCAGCGGAGCCTACCACGGTGTGGATCTGCACATGATCTTCGGAGCCTCTGGAGACGTCAGCGGAATTCAGCCGTCGGCCGACCAGAAGCAGCTTACCAAGATCATGCAGCACGCCTGGTTCACCTTTAGCGACAATCCTACCAAGGGCTTGACGCAGCTTGGCTGGCCGCAGTTTGATCCTAACGGCAAGACTCTGATTGAGCTTGGCAAGGGCACCAAGGCTGCCGTTAGCTTCGCCAAGCCTTCGGTTTATGATGCACCCTGCTCGACCATTACAATGGGTGCCATTGGCACTTCATCATAAGTTCGCGGAGCCCTTTCCAGAAGCTTGCGGCTGAGTTGCATTCGATATTAAGTTTGATGCGTGCAGTGTTGGGAAGCCTTTAGTTATATATGTAGATATTCTTTCCACATGGTGTTTCAAATAAATCACATCACGCAACTTACCCGGCTTAATTTTTCATTGTGATTGCTCATGTGCTCAATACGACCCGGAGTGGTCATTCCGCGCGGCCTGCTGTCTCAATTATCCCATCGAAGGCCGGGGTCATTCCGCGCGTATGGTTTCATACTAATTGCATCTAATGCAAGAGTAGCATGAGGCCTCTGCCAAGAGTTTCTCAATCCTTAGAAAGTTCTGACATCTCAACCGGGGTGGAAAATCACTCACTGTGATTTCGGCGAACACTTTCCCTGCAACTGGGGGATGTGGTCAACTCAGGGGTATTATCCGGGAACTTGGTAAGTCCCGGACGACTTGACAATTCGCCTAATCCCCTCTCATTTACCAATATGGTCATGATCAGCAACGTCCAGGGTAGAGTTGGGATGAAAATCCTTCGAGCCGCGGCCCCTCGGCTTTTTCGGTAGGGGCTGGATCCAGACTGGCGGGGCTGAGTCTAGGGACATCCCGATTGACGAAGGGCAAGTTGGAACGTGCTCGTTGAGCTGACATGAAGATCAGTACTGTTGCGTTGCATTTGTATTATCTATACAGGCAAGCTATGAACTCTAACAATGTTAAAATAAACATCGATCTAGTTTCTAGCAGCAGAGGACCTCTGAAATCACTAGACCGGCCTCGGTGGCTGAGAAAACTCGCTTAACCCGCACTAAACATCCCTTCATTTGAGCTAATGCCGACCGAGAGCCTATCGGTGACATTGATGCCTTATTATCTCGGCCGGGGGGCCGGTATCAAGTTTAACAATCCTAAATGGTGCTTTCACTCAAAAAAGAATGATAGGCTATGTTAGACGCCAAGTGTACCTAGCGGTCAAGGGGAAGGATGAATGAACTAGGTTAACTGTGATTTGTGCACCAGACAGGACGTGAAAAAGGAGCCCGCGTTCTGAGCCACCAACACATATGCCGTCCTACCCTAAAAGATCGCATCGCTGGGTCTGGGCTGCTATTTCCGGGCGAATACTTGATCGTTCCGCATTCCTAATGGCCTTAAGCCTCTTTTCTGAGTCAACTACTTTTGTTAAATGTGAAGGGTCAAGATAACTGTTTTGTTGGTGATATGTGGCGCCTTCATGCATCCTGTAGGCGTCGGGGAGTACCGCCTCAACTCCCCGACAAGCGCCCTTGTTAAGAAGGGAGTTCGCATTAAAAGAGCATCATTGTTGTTCATGCACTAATTTTTGCTTGTCTCATTCCCTTCGCTCTTTTGCTCTCTCCCCCGCCCATTGCGACTCCTCCCCAACCACCACACTCCTTTAAGTCGCCATGAGGTAGTTGCTGTATCATTTAGCCCTGGTAGGCAACATCCCAGCCGCCACCGCTCTTGATCACCCCAAACTGGTCCAAAAGTCCTTATGCTTTACGTACCTGTCGACCTACTTGGCCCCTGTACAAACGTGGACTGCTAGGTTGGATCCCGTCAAGCCTTCTTCTCCTGCTATTGATAGGAACCAAACGTCATCTTCTCTCTCGTCTCAGCCGACCGTGGATTTTCCAGACCCTTCCTCTCTTGGATTGCCCAACTTTCCAACAGATGGCGAGGTTATGCCAACAACAGACCCAAGTGCATCGGACTTCTCGACTGGAGTAACCGTGAGCGGAGAAGCATTGCGGACGCTCACATCCAATGCTGCATCTGCCGCTAGTGGGGCAGTTGGAATGTCTGGCCAGGGCATCATACTGCTGGTGGATGAGTCTGAGGCAACGGGAAAGCGAGAGCGGCGAGATATTCGATGCTTTGTTAATGGCGGGAACGTTATGCTCTGACGCAGGGGCTTTCAGCCTATCAGCGGGACAGCTTCTGGACGACGAGACCCGATATATTATGCCGGCGAAGACTAAAATCTACGTCGTACATAAAAGAATATTTTTATCCCCTTTAAGCCAGATATGAATATGTCACGGAAGCCGCCCAGATCAGTTGTTCCGACATGTCCGCGTGGACACATGAGACCTGAGTCGAGCCATCCCATCGAATCCGGGTTACCATGGAGATTAGGCCGCGGGCAAGACGTATAAAGGCACGCGAGAGCCATGCGGCTCTGTCTCAAAGAGTCTCAATTCGCACTCCTGTATGTCTTGCCATCTTTAAGCACACATCATTCTGTTCTATTTTTTTTTTTCGAAGTCTGAGCAGCTACCAGACACACCATGCTCAAAAAGATCGGGAGTCACCGCCCTCGAGGCAGCGAGCCTGTGGTCGTCTGGTTCCCGGTTCTTCTGGGTGTCCTTATGGCATTCGGCGATGTCCTTTATGGCGATGAAACTGCAACCATCAGCGGCATCTCTGCTATGCGGTATTTCTACCCGCTACCGCAGCCCTGGTGACGGAGAACTCGACGTGGGCTCTGGTCAGAGCTCAATCACCGTTTTCATTCTCTCTGTTGGCACATTCTTTGGCCCTCGCTTTGACGGCTGTACCCTAGCTGATAGGGTGGGAATTTTACTGTAGGCCGCTGCTCGGCTGGCGATGGTGTTGGTATAGTTTGCAACCGTCAGTAAGTTACAACTTTTACCCCTACGTTTTGTTAACCTGATTGCATGACGCATAGTTAACGGTGATACCCGCCAGTTCCTTTGTATCAGTCCGAGACGGCTCTTAAATGGCTTCATGAAGCCATTGTTGGTACCTATCAACTTTCCATCACAATCGCGCTCCTGCTTGCTTCTGTCATCAACAATGCTTCCAGGCGTGCCGATGACAGTGGCCCTTGTCGGATCCCTATTGCTATACAATTCATATGGTTCATAATTCTCTTCACTAGTGCCTTGTTTTTCCTTGAGATGCTTCGCTACCTGGTCAAGCGAGGCAACGTGGATGATGTCATGGTGTCTTTCAGTCGTCTTCGCTGTCTTTCGGCCGAGAATACCGACCTCGAGACGGAGCTCCGTTGGTTTAGGGATAATTACGAGTACGAGTCCAGCGTCACTACGTCCTGGCTCGCGTGTTATCAGGGTACTCATCAGCTGCGCTTTACAAGCCTTCCAGCAGCTGACGGGAGCGAGTTTCATCTTCTATTACGGTGCATCATTTTTCCAGAACTCAGACGTGTAGTGTATAATCTAGAGAGATAGGGTTTCGAGTTAGGGTTAGGCTAGAGCCCCTTCATCGTCTCGATGATCACCAACTGCAACAACACCGTGCCGACCCTTAATGGTCTCCGGGCTGTAAAGAGACTGGGGAGATGCTAAATTATGCTCATTGGAGCCGCCGGCATAGGCGTGTGCCAGCTTATTGTTGCGCTGCCCATAGCTCGGCGGGTCAGCAGGCTCTGGTGGCATACGTCTGTGTCTTCATCTTCAACTTCGCCTCCATGTGGGGAATAAGTGCCTGTGTTATTTCCAGCAACTCTTCTGCCTCGAGGTGCGCTCCTAAGGTCTCGCATAGTCGGTCGTAGCCGCCTGGCTCCTGAACCAGGCTCTAGGTTACGCACGCCGTACCTCGTTAACTCCGAGCCGGGCAACGCTGGTCTCGGAGACGAGCGTTGAATTCACCTACTTCTTCATCTATGAGACCAACGGACTCCGTATCGAGGAGGTTGATGAGATGTTTAGGATAGTTAGGAACGCACGCGAGTCGGTGTCCTTTGTGTTAGCTCCCGCTACGGTAGCGTAGCAGGGTGCTGACGACAAGCTGGAAGATGCGGTCGAAACGCAGGCTATTGCTGCAAGAGTTGAGAAGAGTTAAGAGTTTTGCTGACCGTTGGGCTAATAGTCATCGGCTTGATAAACTAAGTTGAAACCCATATTGCCTGGCAATTTGGGCCGGCTAGAAGATAGCCCAATTGCGCAACTCCCAACAAAGAGACGCAATGTTGAGAAGTGAAATGGGAGAGGAAAATGTGTCTAAGACGTATTAATCTTGTTAATTTATTGATTGGTTCCCAGCATGTATTAGTTCATGCACCCACCCCGAGTCATAGCTACTCGGATGAAGCGCATGAACGTCCTCGCGAGGGAGAGGCCGGCTCCTCGTTAAGCTAGATAAGATAATCATCAACGCAATTCCTCAAGGTAGAGCCTATGGAGCCTACTGATAGCTGCAGGTATTAGGAAGAAAATCAACGTTAATCTAAGAGTTGTCCTTAGGATGTCTGTGTTAACATCGGGTCATGATGTTAAGATGTGTTCATAATCTGTTTCTTATTATAGTTGCAGCCCGGCCCCTGATGGGAACTGAGCCAGAAGATCGTCCTTAAGATGTCATATAGTCGTTACAGCCCTGATACGGTGTAAGTCGTTGCGCTAAATTTGGCTACATGAGACTTTAAGTTACCGTTAAAACCTCAAAGACCAGCGTACTTGGCTGACTGCCTTCAGTCACAAGGTCCATTAAAGGAGTGATCCCAGTGAAATCGTAACAATGAGCACTTCATCGATTGGTGTAGCTTAATGTGCGGTCATATATCAACATAAATGAATGTTGACTTATGCCCCATGTAGTGACTGCCTCGGACTCATGGGATATACCCCTGTAACATCGCACTAAGCGTCCAGTCGTAGGGCTGGACCTGGCTTGTATCTGAAACGACCCATAGTCAGCCAAGGATGTTCAGTGCGAGCCAGCAAATCAGAAGGTCTTTTGGGTGCGACCTAGCAAATCAGAAGGAATTCGCATCCTCCCGCCCCAAATTTTGCGGCGGCTCGCAGAACCCGAGCTTAGTTCGGCAGTCAAAGGATGACTCCTTTCCCCCTTGGGCTGCATCATGTCCACTCAATGTCGACATTAACATCCGATAGAGGGTAGAACCCTTGAGTATTAACGAGAAAAGAGCCAGAAGCTGAAATAAGATTACCCAGCCCAGACCAATAACAGGCCCGGGTCGTGTCAGCCAAGCCATGGCTGTCAGCCCTGTTAGTCCCAACGGCTCCCCCTTCCAACTTTGTTTTAAGGGACTCACTCACCCACACTTTTTTTCTGTCAAGATTCCTCCATCTCGTGGCTTTTTGCCTCTTTCTGCACATTCGTTTGAATCCTTACTGTGCTGGCCCGGCTGCGCCGCAGTCACCTCTTCCAATATGACGACTAACTTTACTGAGGTGATTGATTTCTTCGGCCTCAACTGCCCCAATGGCGGCAAATACTACATCTGTGCCGGTAGCTGGGTCGAGTTCATGGGTTGCTGCACTAGCGACCCGTGTGCGGACGGCTCAGGCATCTGCCCGACCAAGGACCACCGACCGGCAGGCTATAACGCGACCCGTCTGGCTGCGGCTACGGCTGACATCCCGGGCGAGTCGACGACTGAGAAGCTGTACAAGTTCCCCGTGACGTGCTACGGCGAGCAGGGCTGGTTGAACAGGTACGCGTGCTCGAACAAAGGCGTGTCCTTCTTTGGCTGCTGCAAGACGGATCCCTGCTTCACCAAGTTCGAGAAGCCGCCCCAGTGTGCAAACAAGGATCTCCAGATAGCTGTGCTGCGGGACAACGAGTACCGATATCTTGTTAACGCCTATGACAAAACGTACAACCTATCGCTCACGGAACCGAATAATCTCCCCACTGAGAACGGCAACATTAGGGTCGAGGAGACAAATGATGGTCTTGTTGGGTATGCGGCTGTAGCTGGAGCCTCGTTCGGTGCCCTGGCCGCCGTTGTTCTCCTCCTGGGTGTGGCCTGGAAGTACTGGTATGTCTGTCACAGCAAGAGTAAGGCATCTCAGCTCTAACATCAGCAGGCTGTCAAAGCCAAAGGCCAAGAGTAGCCAATCCTTTCCTATGAGCCCCATTAGCCAGGCACAGAAATCCGACAAGCCGTATATACCTGTCGTGTCTGAAGTGTCGCTGCAGAGTGGCCTTCCACCACAACATGGTTCTGCAGTGGCTCTCACAGCCTCTGGAAGCTGGGGCGATGGTCCAAAGCGCCTACACTCCTGGAATGCCAACAAGGTTTCGGGTTGGTTAGGAGATACCTTTCTTACCCTCATTCCAGTTATTTTCATAGGTAAGCCTTTCCATCTTCCTGGCAGCTCCCGCCGATGCTCATCTCTCCAGTTCTCGCCGTCATTGCCATGAGTCTGGACCGCCAACCCAAATCGGACTTTGGCCAAAGAGCTATGGAATGGACGCGTCTTAGCCCCACCGTATACCCCATCATCTTTGCCGCGGTCGCTGGCAGGTTCTATAAGAATCTCGCTCGTTGGTGCCTAGAAAGACCAGACGGCATCGGCCTCGCAGTCCTCGAGCAGATATTCGGCAGCCAGAGCTTTGCCGCAGCCTTTGAGCGGCTCTGCTTTGTCCGGACCAAGGTCCTCATCGGCATGGCTATCATACTGACATGGGCAATGTCTCCCCTTGGTGGCCAGAGCGCCTCGAGACTTCTGTCCTTTGGAAACAGCAGCGCCTCTGCGGATGCCGTCATCTACTACGCCGACCCTGCCTATCAGAAGTCCAACTTCCTTCTCTGGGACTCGGCCGTAACCAGCATGTCGAGCGTGGAGGCGCTGTACTCGTCGAGCCTCATGTCATCTCTCGAGCAGAAGCGCTCGCCGAGAGACCTCTGGGGCCTGCCCAAGATTCCCCAATGGCCACGAGACCTCGACGGCCAGACGCACAACATCGACAGCGATGCCCTCCGCACGGGTGGTAACTACTACGCATCCCTCCTGGGCATCAAGATGCACGGGCTGGACCTCCCGAGTGGCCACGCCGACTACACCTTCACTGTCGAGACGTCATACCTCGACTTTGACTGCAAACACACGCACTCGATTGACCTACGGGTGAAGCCGAGGGACAACGAGACTGCTGTCCTCGAAATGTGGCATGCCGATGTAAACTCAACTCGATATCCCCTGGCGGTTGACGACGTACCCTTTATCGTCAACGTTTCGCTTCCGGCCAAGTGGAATGACTGGATGAGCCTCGAGAACCCGCCGCCACTGTCCATGCGGTACATGTCCCGCTGGGCGGACTTCATGCCGTGGATGACAACGCAGTTGATCGTAATAGACTGTAGTATGGAGAGCGTCACGCTCGAGACGGATATGCAGTGCAGTGGGACGAGCTGCGAGGCACACCGACAGCGGCGGCTCAAGAACAAGCAGAGGCCGGGTAACCGGTTTCCCGACCTCATGCTCCAGAAGGCGATGAAGCTGTCCAACGCCTTCTCGCTATGGGCCAACTCGACTGGTAGCCTGGCCCTCGGCCTCGCTTCGCCAATTGAGAACTACTTCATCGACGAGACGTTCCCGTACTCAGGACAGCCGGCTAGGAACTGGACCAAGGTCGATACGTCCAAGTTCGAGAATGCCTTTTCGAGGCGGTTCACGACGGCCTTCAACACGTATTGGGACTCAACCTTGAATCCCAATGGTCACACCAACGTCTCATTCCAAACCGACCCCAGCATCAATACCGTCTCGGTTGAGCATTCTAATCTGTCTCCATTTATGAATTCCACAACAGGCACAGTCAAGGTGACCAAGGACTTGTATATCGCGAACCGCCTCTGGATTGGCCTGTTGCTGCTCACAACCTTGATCCTTATGGTCCTCGCCATCTGCGGTCTTGCGCTGCAGGCCTTCATCCGGGGTCCAGACGTGCTGGGATACGCGAGCACCCTGACACGAGACAATCCCAATGTGCCTGTGCCGCCAGGTGGATCGTACCTCGACGGTCCCGATAGGGCGAGACAGCTCAAGCACCTACGACTACAGCTCGCTGATGTGCGTCCTCAGGGCGCCACGGGCTATGTTGCGGTAAGGTCTATTCCGATGATGGGGGATGACGAAAAGTATGCTGGTCCGCTGGATCAGAAGAGATTGTACGAATAGATTACTTGGCAGCTCTGTGGTGTATATTGCCATCCAGCCTTTTACTTCGAGAAGTCTTTGTAATTTCATAGTCACTCTGCAAGCTGAACTGATCTCTCTATAGCTTTTGTGGCCATTTGATCCCGTTCACCAGCGACAAGTACATATTCCCATTTACTTGTCAACTGCCTGAAGCATTTGCGCATACCGAAATCCCTCACTTTTCCCATTCTCCAATATTCAGAGCGCTCTCCCGTAGTACTCCACTGTAATGAGAAACCCGACGACGTTGACTGAGCGCCTTCAAGATCAACGCGGACCGCAAGATCGACCAACACGCTTGTCTTCAGACGAACCCTCGCCGTTGGCAGTTGTGTTGCCACGTGCAGCATCCCGCCCAGATGTGCGGCCCCAGCGGGGGACCAGCGGAGTGACAGGCTGAGGTCGAGACGGGTTCGAAGGAACAGGTGGCTGAGGCTCACAGCTGGTGCTGTTTGTGATGGTGGGATTGTTAAAGCCTGCTTTGGGTTTCTGTATGTTGGCTACTGCCAGCCAGTCCAGACTTTCATACTTGTCAGTGTGACCGAAACGAAGTTGATTCTGCTCATCAAGCATCGTGAAGGGCACGAGCATGTTCACGCCATCGCCGTGGAAGAGGAGCCCGGAACCGTCCAAAGTGGAGCATCTTGTAGCGATTACAAAGTTGTCGTTTGACGGCACCTGCTCCTGCAGAACTGCCAGGAGCTGAGGGCCAAGACGAGGTGCAGACCACTGAGTCGGATGTCCTTGGGGAGGTGGGCCGGAGCGCATTGGTCTCTGACTCTCGTCGGTGTGGTTCTTTGACTTTGATTGTCCAGGGTTGCCATCTGTGGGGGCCATCGTGAGTGAGAGGCCAGTAGAAGGTACCGAATGTCTCTCAGTATGTGGTATAGTGCGATGTTTTGCTTTGCTGAAGTTGCAAGGAAGGCTCTGTCGAAGTTGTACTTCGGGTCGGAGTAGGAGAAGATGATTGGAAGAAGTGAAGAAGGAAAGACTTGAAGTGTTAGAAATCTAGATATAGTTGAGCCAAGCCCACGTTTGAGCAGAGTCTATTGGTTTATTCAACATTGGACAATATCAGTGAACGATCTCAGATTGTGAAGCGAGATCTGATTGTAAAACGGGGTGGATTTGTAAACGAATGAATGGCGTTGGATAAGACGTCAATACAATGGCAAACAAACGGTCCAGAAATATAATAGATCCTCAAGTGGAATTATTCAATGGCCTTTCCTAACTCTAACCGCCGTTGATGTGAAGCCGTTTGTATCTAATGTCAAAGTTCGATGGCAGGACATGTCGCATAAAACCAACGATCTCTGAACCAGCGGGATAGTAAACCAATGAGAAAAACGGGTACGGTTGGCGGAATACAAAACAAATTCTATTGGCCTTTATCTTAGCACTCGGATCAAGCATATTCTAGAGGGGATATGACCATACTGGCTCTGGCTGGTCGGATATTATTCAACCCCTGGCTCACGACCATCCCAGCCTACAACATCACGGATACGCTGTGATGGATGTCCACTCTCCTCACGTTACGGTGCACCAAAAAGGTCTATGGGAATGTTCAATGGGTCTATAGTTGAAGCTGATTGTGCGTTATTGTTCGGTTAGAGCTCAAACAATGAGCGCACGTGGAGGTAGTGGTCGTGGGTGTACTAATTTTACTTTCTCTACTGGATTATCTACATCTACCTATCCCTAGATGAGAGTTCTTATGTTAGGGATTGAACACCGCCTCAAACACGTATCAAAGAGGAAGATGGTTTCGGCAGAATAAGTGTTGTAGGTGACAAAGAATGCTTAACTGACAAGTGACAAAATCGATGCCAAGAGCACCGCACCTTTATTCTCGGCTGAACAATTAAAGCCACAACAACAAATAACAAAGGACATGAGACGCGAACAGTGATAGACGAGAACTTCTCATAGTGAGAAATCATAGGAATCTGATGAGTATATAGTCGACTGTTCTCGCTCGATTATCAACTCCTTCCATACTTCATCGCACTCATCCTATCAAGCCAGATCGGTTTTCAATTCTCAACATCAGCAACCCCCTCATACCACCTGTTCTTCACTACGAGTACTTACTCTACATCATGCATCGCTTCACTTTCCTCTCTGTTCTCCTCTCCTTCGGGGCTTTCGCTGTGAGTGTCTCCGCCGACCTGCCGTATGTCGTCTCGAACGGAACTGCCGGTTATCAGCAGAAGATGGACTCGGAGAACGATTGGATGGTTAAGAACTTGCGCAAGTACTTTGTGAGAACGGATGATACGGAATTGGAGCCGCGAGACATTATCTGTGGTATGTACTCGCAGCTCGGGAACATTGACGCCTCGTTCCGTTCAAACCCGCTCTCTCTTGACGCTCTGTTTGAGGATAAGGAGAATTCTGAGTCATTTGAAAGAACGCTTGACGATCTGGAAGATAAGTGCCACCAAGACCCTTCAGCATACATGGAAAAGTGCATCTCCGGCGCCGAAGCTTTGCTGTTAATGGATGTGGTTGTCAACGGCAACGAGATCAGTGCATTCTACAAGCAACAGTTTCGTCAGACCAAGGAAACCGTTGCGGAAGTGCTTACGAAGCCCGAGATGTGTGGAGAAGGATGGAAGCATGGCGAGAAGTATCTCAAGGCGCGAGAACCTTGGTCATTCGAGAAGAAGGGCTCGCCAGTGATTCGAATTCCTGTGTAGGCAACGCGATGGGAGACTATGGAGTAAGGGTGCGATGAGAACACTAGATTGACACATTCTTTTAGTTTTTATTTTATTTTCCTCGACCGAACCAATTAATATCTATCACCGGTAACACCGGGATTTACTCTTCGTATCATTTTCCCACCCTGGTAGCCTCATGGCTGAGACTCTGCACCAATCTGACTGTCCGCTCGATGATGCCTTCATTTAGGCCAGAGAGACATCAGATACTGGAGTAGTGCTAACGATAAACAGATTAAATTTGCGTCATGCACGACCTATTGTAAAGAACGCCGTTATTGAGAATCCCGATGACTCTGGGTCGTGGTGGGCCTCAACCGCCGCAACAAACATTGAGGTTGACGACGAAACGCTTATCAGATGGCTGATAACGCCTTATTCTCGAGGCACAAAACGGTTCACGTTTGTTGACCTCGTGCAGAAACGCGTCTCGACGGTTTGCACTGGCGTTTGTTTGCCTGAGGCTCCACAGTGCAACTCGGCCAAGCTTGCACTGGCGCAGCACCTCTCACCCGCCTCGACTCTGCGAGATTCATCTCTTCTTTTTCCTCGAGCAACTTCGATTTCTTCATTCGAGAATCATCACACAATCATCTCTCTGCTTCCCGCATCATCACATTTCATCTCCGCCGCATCGAATAGCTCATCATGGCCCCTGTTGTTGAACCTCGCCGCAGCATGCGAGCCTCAGGGCGAGTTTCTTACGATATGACGAGGCGCCATCAGCGCCGCCGCACGATCAAGAGCCTCGAGGGCGCTTTTGAGATCGATAAGAAGGAGACAGGCCGAGAGAAGCAGACTGCAGCCATCGCGGATCAGTCCCTTGACGGAGTCAACACTGACACAAGCACGAGCGACACCTCTGGCAGCCTGCCCGGCACCAGCACCGCCAAGAGATCGACCCGTATTCGAGTCAAGGTCAGCCCACGATCCTCCAGCTCTTCTCCCGAGCAGTTGAACGCGAATCTATCGGTTGCTACCCCTTCGACTGTGTCGCGCGTATCTCTCCCCAAGGTCCGCAAGTCCACCATGAGTGTGGCACCAAAGAACTTGCGACGACGCACCGCTTCCTCCACTTCCTCCGCGTCTCAGCAGACCCCCGCACGCCTTTCCGTGGAAGAAGGTCTCAACCAATCTCCTCCATCTACTCTCGAAGTCCCTCAGGTATGCCATCTCCTCTCACTTCCAAGGTGAATTCAATCTGACAGATGCAGGACCAACAGCAGCAGAGCGCTGCCCTTCTCCAGAGTGCTCAAGCCGTCACCGACGCCTTGCGAAAGCACCAAGAGCTTCTCGCCAAGGAGTCATCTGCCATGCAGGCACAGCACCGCCAGCTCGGCGCCGACCTCATCTACATGAAGTCCCAAGTCCGTTCTCCTGCGGCTCTCATGACACGCATCTCCATGCTCAAGAGAGACCTGTCGGAGCAGCTTGACGACCAGGTTGAACTGTACGAAGCTCAGCAGAAGTTTCACAAGCTCAAGGCAAAGCTGGGAAGCATCTCCATGATCGGTCTCACTGCCTCTGAGGAAGACCTCATGGCCCGCCAGAGAGGCCTGAACGAAAGCATCAAGAAGAACCGAGAGGAACTCGCAGAGGCGGAACGCGACTTGCTTGGCGTTAGAGACGCTCAGCTTCACATCGATGCCGCGAAGACTAAGCTGGACAGCCTCAAGACCCAGCACGAGAAGCACGTCGGAGGCATGGAATGGTGGGACGCCATGACTCGCCTCGTTGCCGGTGGACCCCAATGCAACTTTGACATTACCGACCTGGTCAAGATCTCTCAGACGTTTATCACCTACATGGAACCCCGACTTTCCGAAGAATCGTCCGAGTCTTCTTGAAGCGAGTATGATGGATCTGGTGGCTGACTGACGTGGAATGTACTGTGTCTACCTGGATGGTTTGGAATGGATTTGTACGATTGGTTCACATGGAGGATATGGAGGACACATGAAGGGAGTGTTGCGAAGCAAATGGCATGGACTGATTGAGGGTTTGACATTTTCGGCGTTGTGGAATACCCATGTACCTATGGAGGTAAATAAGTAACGATCTCACGACTGTACGCTTTGGCTTTCAACCTGATGAACTTGAAGTTGGTGGATGGCGAAGGGTCCCACGTGACTGATCTAAACCGTGATGTCATCCCCTTGGAACAACGCTTCATTCTTCAGCCTGTAGTCTTTCTTGGAAGCTATCGAGGATGCCTTGAGGCCGACGCGGATATGAGGCCGACGCCTCCCAGCTGGAGTGCTGGACGGCCCTCCGTCCGTGCTCCGAAGCGCGACCCCACTCCCGCACGGAACATGGGCTTTGGAGACGCGTGACTGAACACTGTCCTTTGTTGGCGATTTCTCTCGTCTTTCCATGGTTCATAGACTCCAACACGGCAATAAAAAGCATTGTCAGAACATTCTGGCGGCATTGAAACCTTCTCTGGCGCGCGCATTCCTCCGACAAGTCCTCAAGATGGCAAATTTCTCTACCAACTTTAAATTCCCAGAATGTTCTAGTCAGGTTCTAATAACCTTAAGTTTACCGTTGCCTTCCACGCCATTGAATGCGCATCCTCGGACTTTACCGGTGATAAGTACCCTGTACCTGTTTGAGTCCGGCCGGACTCGGGGCGATCGACCTACCCGACTTGGACACAACCAGCGCTGTAGTGGCGTCACGCGGCAGCTACCTAGGTATTTGTTGCTGTAATAAAGAGGCTCACCACCCACTACCATCACGATCCAGGGACTTGGACCAATTCACACAATATCGTCAAACAATTCTTACTTGATCCCTCGAGACATGGCCACAAGAACTCTCGTAGTCGGAGGAACCGGTGGCATCGGCTACGCGATAGCCTCGCGCCTCGCTGCCGAGTCCTCATCCTCCACTGTCATCATCAGCGGTCGCAACAAGCCACAGGACATTCCTCACGCCAACATGGAGTTCCGGCCGCTAGACGCGTCGTCGATGCGCGCAATCAAAGACTACACGACCGCATACAAGGCTACTAAGCCGCCAGCACTGGACTACCTCGTCCTCAGCCAGGGCATCGGCACCATGGCGGGCCGCACCGAGACAGCTGAGGGCATCGATAACAAGATGGCGCTCCACTTCTATGGCAAGCAGCTGCTAATCCGCGAGCTGCTGCCGGTTCTCAAGGACGATGCCAAGATCCTCATCGTGCTCGACGGAAAACGCGGCAAACCATCCGACCTCATCTGGGATGACCTGGATCTCAAGTCCAACTTTAGCCTCGCCAACGCGGCCGCCCATTGTATCTCCATGACGGACGCCATGGTGCAAGCCTTTGCGACGCATCAAGCGGCGGAGAACCCAGCAAGCAAGAGACACTTTGTGCACGCTTTCCCTGGCTTCGTGCGAACCGAGATCTTCAAGAACCTGCCGTGGTATTTCAGGGCCCCAGCGAAGGCCATCGGCCCTTTGCTGGGTGTGCAGCCTGACACGTGCGCCGAGAGGCTCATCAGCGGAACACGCGAGCGGGCGGCGGACGGCGACAAGCTCTGGAGTTTCATTGATGAAAAGGGCCATCTGATCTCGAACAAGGCAAGCTGGACCGAACAGCAGATCAAGGATGTCGAAGAGCATACGTGGAAGATCATCGATGGTGCGCTGAACACGAAGGATTGAGAGGCAACTGGGGGAAGGAAGTTGGGTGGAGACAGGAATCAAGCTCGCGATGTGTTTGAGCCTCTGAGACCAATAACATAGGGTTTTCAGGTGTGTTTTCAAGTCTAATATTGTTGTTTATACCCGGCTAGCGTCGTCTGGTTGGATTGGGAGTGTAGGTCAAGCAAATTTTGAACCAAGGGACACGGCGGGCTTTGAGTAAATTATCCGATGGCCAAATGCTTCTTTTATCCCGAGAACTCATACGACGAGCTTGTTCATCCCCGTAAATAAGGCTGAGGCACACCAACTCCAGAGACACGGCTCAATAGACCCAACAACCATCACTGGAGTCGTGGAAACCCCATTTCCTGAGCGCCTTGTCTAGCTAGCTAGCCATGCTTGCCCAGTGGCATGAGAGCATCTCATAGCGACACACGTTAGCCTTGGGTGCCATGAGGCTTTCATCCTCTCTTGTGCAGCTCTGCGTCGAGATTCAGAAGAATCACCTGGAGGTCCTTTTCTTCCATCTCTGCCAAACCGCAGAGACATAGACGGTGAACCTTTTCCCACACCTGGACGGCCTTTTCTTCCACGCTGCACTGTTCCAACTCCTTCTTACACGCCCTTTCCTGCGCCCTCAATTCCTTAGCCTCCTTTACTAACCTCGAGCGAGACTCGCGAATCTCTGCAACTTTCTCTGGTAGGGCCGCAAAGTCTGCCTTGGCCGCTGCCTGGTCGACCTCGAGCTTTTCGAGCTCAGCTTCGCGATTTTTAATGATTCGCTGCAGATCCGCGCCTTTGAAGGTCCCAAGGAAGGCTTTCAGGCCAAGAATGTGGGTGCGTTTCCTGTCGACTGCAAGGGTGAGAATGCTGAGTTGCTGTTCGGCCTTGCTCTCACAATCCCTATCAAGGAATTTCCGAGTGCTGTCTAGATACTCTCTCTTTTCCTTGAGGCGCGCAGATAGGAGTGGCCATTGGGATTGGGCATTGGCGAAGCGTTGCGCTGTGTCGCTGAACCTGTCATAACAATAACAATCCGTCGCACATGTAATCTGTTGAAATGAGACCTCGTTAGCTCCTAGGGCTTGGTGTCTCCCGAATCTCCTACCTCCTCGTGGACTGTGTGTTCGCTTGACTCCGATTCTGTAGCTGACTCGAAAGAAGATTGGCTGAGAACATCTGCCATGCTCACGTCAACATAATCTGAGAACATGGCTGATGGTATCGGAGATAGGGGCTAGATATTGAACTTCGAGACGAGATTATGGGTATTGAAAATGTTGAAGAGTGTTGGAGGAAGTAGGAAAATGTGTTTGCTTGTGAAGGGGGGCAGGAGGATGTAGAAAAGAGCCCACTGTGATTTTTCCTGCCGGGGCTAATGTCGTCTTTATAGTCTTCATTAATAATGTCAATTTCTAGGCAGGCAAATAATAAGTTTTTTGAGCCCAAGGGACATCCGGCCGAAAGTTTTGTTGAGGCACTCCGTGACCTTGAGCTTATCGACGTACAAACAAGGTTTTTCAAGATTTTTCAAGCGGTGGCATTATGACTTGCAGCAGAGCTAGCCTACCTACCTTCAGGCATACCACCCTCGCGGCAGTTGCCAAAAGGCTGCCAGTGCAAGTTTGAACGAAGATAAAGGAGCTGACAAGGAAGGGCCAGTTCAGGCGTGGAACTGTAACAGGACTTCATAAACCTAATCAAAGGATAAATATAAAAACAATCACTCTCGAATTTAGCCGATTCACGGAGCGGACAAAAAGTGATGCTGAAGGGCATCACGTGTTTCATCACGTGCAACGATCTGGACAGTTGCACCAATGGAGACCCACAGTCGCACAACTCAACCCAAGCATCCTCGGACGTCTCATGCCCGGGGTCTTTATGTGAAAGGCCAGAAAGGCAAAAAGAAAATTTGTGCGACCACGCCAGGATTCGAACCTTTTTTGTTTTGTTAGTCTTGTGTTCGAACTTGGATGATGTTGAGTTGAACTAACCTGGAATCTCTAGAGAATTTGCGAGTTGTAGACCGAAATCTAGCGCCTTAGCCATTAGGCCACGCGGCCTTTGTTGGAGTTCCAGCCGAATTGTTGCTGGTTTCCTGTCAGGACCGTGATTGTCCGAAACGAAGCAGGGACGGCTTCACGGAATCCCATCTACTAAACACCCGACATTGCCACTGTCAAAGCGAAACACATGGCTCATTCCCTACAATGGGTTTGAACTTTGAGTCCTTTCACTGAAACTGCCGGAAAACGCTGATCTAGCACGATATTAGGCCATGACACATGAGAACGAAGACTTGAGGCAAGACGAATGCTTCCGTGAACCCAATTGTGCACCTTGAAGCTTAAGAATGACTTTTTCATACCAGATTCATCTCGAATTGTACAATTCAGGCACAAATAATCACCAATCTGGCCGGGGATGATTAGGCCACTCATAGAGTGGTTGATCCGGACAAGATTCCAGAAGATCGCCGTAATGCCGAAGAACCTCTTTCCACTCACTACTACGCGGGGCTATCAATCGAAACACATCATCACGTTCCGATTCGCGGCCAACAATGAAACACTCCTTATCAACCTGTCCATATTGGGCAAACTCTCCACAGGTAATAAACTTGAGCGAAGGCGGCCCTTCAGGTCCAAACGCCCACTTGACGAGTGTAGTGAATGGTTCTAGAAGCTGAGCAGGTCGTGTAGACTGCACTGCCGCTTGCGGCGTGTTCTTCGTAGCGTCTGCGGCCGTATGCTCTGTCAAGACATCAGTTTGTTTTGGGGTCTTTAGAAGCATCAATAACTGAATCATCTAGGAAAACGAACCATCTTCGTTTACTGGTCTGGTAAACCTTCGCTCGTCGGTTATGTCTGGGCGCAAGTGGAGGACCTTGAGCGACGAAACAGGACCGAAATTATTGATCCATTGAGGCTACCGTGAAAGTTCTGTGAGCATCCTGGGCGTGGAAAGATGCAAATAGTCTTACCACTTTTTCCGGCCCGCAAGACAAACCAAGGCACTCGAGATAGAGGTTTGAAGGCAAATTCTGGGATGGGGCTTTTCCACCACTATCCCGCTGTGATTCTTCTTCACTGCCCCGTTGTGATTCTTCGTCACTATCATCGGAATCACCGATAAGAATATTAGCGACTGCCCCATCGTATTGCGCGAGTCGCCGCAGAGTATCTCTGTGTCGAGAAATATGCCCACAAGGCGGCAGAATTCCGACCAACTCCTCAAAGCTGAGATACAGCTTTTCAAGGCCCAAGAAAGAGTCTAGAGACCCCCAGAGAGTGCTCAGTCGTGGAGGGTCAGGCCAATCATAATGGTCCTCTATCTCAAGCTCCTTCAACTTGAGCACCACATTGAGTTTTGGGGCGTACTCAAGAAAGCTCGTCCACTTTAGGCATGATCGGAGCGTTAGCGACCGAAGTAATCCAATGTTCATTTCGCCGATCAAACCTGGCCCAACGCGTACGTGTGGCAATGAAAGTTTGGTCAGGGCGTTGAAAATGGGCCTAGGGGTGGTAGTGTGCATGTGTCGGTTCCAAATGCAAGCAAAGACACCGGCCTTTTTGTCCCCATTTCTCGAGCTGTCCATCCAGTAGTCATCGCTGTCGGTTCCCCAACCATCGCTATCACTGTCATCGTAGTAGCCATTTATTGACTCGACCTTGTCCCAGTCCAGGAGATCAATTTCGACCTCTTGAAGATGCTGGGAGTTTTTGATGATGAGGTGGCCCAGCTCTAGAAGATAGGCAGCGTTGGGTCCTGTCCATGAAAGCCTCTTGAGCTGGCGAAAGTTGGGGAGACGCATGGGCTCGCAGGCGCCGCGAGGGCATTCAGGATCTGTGATGAGACGGAGAGACTGGATTGTTGGGTGCATTCTGCCAAGAATGCCCTTCTCGGCCAGAATCTCTTCAGGGACGCAAGTTCCCATTTCCCAGCTAACAAAGATGTTAGACAAGAATTCTTTAATGATATTTGGATTGCCTTCTGACCTGAAACTCTTCAGCTTTCGAGGCATAAAGAGCTTGATGACTGACATGTCCTTGTATTCGAGATTCTCGAAACGTTCCTCTTCCTCATCCATGTCAAGACGCCATCCTAGATGCCGGCGCATGGTGTACAAGTGAGGGCAAAACAGGTGCCATTCTTGACCAGGCTCAGGGATGAAAAGAAGCTGAGATGTCTTCATGGATGCTGCTTGGGGGAACGTTGAGCGAGTAGCATCATCCATGCGAAAGTCATCGGTCAACGATGGAGGCCCAGAGTGCCTTGAGAAGGGACTTTCGTATTTCCGTAGACACCGACGACAACGATTTTATATCATCTTTCCCCAACTGTAGGAACTCGGAGTCAGCTATCCCACTCGTTGGGAGCAACTTTTGAGGCAGTGTCTTGTTGACACACCAATGCAATCACCATTTCAAATGGCACAAGCGGGAGTTTCAACAACATGATTATGGCGTTCTCCGGGAACCCCCGTCGGCAACAGAAGTCACGTCAAAGAAAAGATGATGATCAAGGCGTCAGAATGTTGAGACACAAGAGGCGGGGTGTTTTATCTGCTTGTGGCGTTGTGGCAGTGCGTCATCTTTCAATCACTGTTCGCCTTGATAACCTCTGATAGGTCGCGCCGCGATACGTGGGTGGCTGGAAACCCATGGCCACCAATCAACGAGTCGAAGCTCACAAGTGAAAGGTGAATGTCTGAAGATTGGACTTCATCACTGAAGTCGATACCCTATAGCCGAGAGATGTCTACATCGAGTTCAACAATCGCCTTATTCCACTCTGGAACAAGCAGCCCTATGGAGCGTATTAACCTAAACGTACAACCTTTGTTGAATCCCCATTCACACCTATCCCATCGGTTCCAAGAAGCTTTAAGCAGTCACACTGGGGGGGCAAGGATGAGTCAAGGAGCTCAACAGGGGCTCCGTATGGCTTCGACGCTGAAACCGCGAAGTACGCTAAACCGCCCTGGGCGCATTAGAACGTGATTCAAATGTACCAGGTAGGATCTCGGGGATTCATATATAGCTACCAAAACACCAGAGTCAGTCACGGACCTCATTTCATCTAGGCCGAAAGAGCCATGCATTGCCACTGAGATTACCTTTGATCATCCGTGGAAAGCTCAGTCATACGGGAGTCTAGGTACGTATCAGTTAGTGAGTAATAACGTTGTAGACTCCTACACCCTGTCCCTTGGGAAGGCTATCATCCCGTTGTGGCCTGCTTTCAAGCACAGACCGGAACAGGGTTACGTCTACGTAGGGTCACATTTAAAGGTGACTTTGCAGCCTTGGCCCGGATTTTACCTGCACTCCGAGTCCCCGCTATGTTGTGTTATAAAAGCTTGAATATGCTGTGCAATTTCCAGTCTCTCATTCTCCGTAGCCCTTGCACCCTACTTTGGTTAAGACCAAGCACTACGACACCCTCCAGTCACCGCAGGGAAACCTAGAGCAACAATCATGGCGGCCTCAACAAATGGTACTTCTCAGGGAGTGAGAGGTGCTATGAAATCAAGCGACCCTCTTCCTCTTACCGTCGAAGAGCTCACCGCCCCCTGGTTCACCAAAATTCTAGGCAAGCCAGTCCAAGATGCAAGGGTCGTTGAAGCCATCCACGGTACAGCGTCCAAGATCCTTCTTGAACTAACCTTTGAGGACTCTGCCGATGTTCCGATGAGGGTTTGCGTCAAGGGCGGCTTCAATCCGGCTCTGACCGTCATTCCCTATATGCTGGCCGTCTACCGACTGGAAGCCGAGTTCTACTACCACGTCGCCCCAACCATTAGGATGCCTCTCCCTCCAACTCTTTACAGTGGCACGGATACCATCAATGGACAGGGAATCGTTGTGATGGCCGACCTAAAGTCCCAGGGGTATACATTCGGAAACCCCCTTGAGACCTGGCCTGTCGATCGCGTGCAAACGAGCGTCGAGCAGCTAGCTATTCTCCACGCGAGCACCTGGGGCAGCACACCTGACGACATTCCGTGGGCTAGTCAAACCGTTTCGCTCAGGGATGCCATCTTGGGCCTGGCTGCCCCAGAGGCATGGGAGAAACAATTTGCTGGGGAGACTAGACCTCCAGTGCCGAACCACATGATGAACCGCGAGCGGATGACAACGGCGTTTCAGGCTCTCTGGAAGCCATCTAACTCGACGCTCAATTGCCTAGTCCACGGCGACGCGCATATCGGCAATACCTTCATTTCGCCTACTGGAGAACCTGGGTTTCTAGACTGGCAGGTTATACATACCGGTTCAGTTATGCATGATGTCTCCTACTTTATCATCGGCGCACTATCGATTGAGAACCGTCGGAATCACGAGAAAGGGCTTGTGCAGTCGTACCTCGACACCTTGTTCCGCGCCGGAGGGCCTCGGCTCCAAGTCGAACAGGTTTGGGACGAATATCGCAAGCATACATTCCATGGGTTTGCGTGGGCTCTCGCTACACCAATGATGCAGAGCCGCGAGATTGTTCATGCGATGACGGAACGCCACTGCGCAGCAATTGTAGATCATAAGAGCATTGAACTGCTGGTAGGGACCGAAGAGTAGAAGTGTACTCAAAGATGTACTCAGGAAAGCTGGGCTTAAATAAATGTTTATATTTGTACCTGCTAAGCTCACATGGATCTGAGCATGAGCACAGTCCGAGGTAGAGTTATTAGCCTTGAGATACCAAAGACGTAGACGTTGATCACGCCGATTAGCACTCAACGGTGAAAGTAAGGACAGAGAGCCACTCACCGACCAGCTTCCTTGGCATTGGTCATTGGCCGTTGTGACAAAATCAGGGGCTCCTAGGCTGCGGAGTACAACCTGCGGCTTCGGACTTTGCGGACCACGGGGGTGGGGGATCTCCCTGTCTTGCAGGGAGCTCCACGCTGCGCCTTGCTTTAGCCGTATTCTATTGTCGTATAAGATACGAAGAAGGGGCGCGGGCTCAAGGGTCTGACCTAACAATAACACCTCGCTCAGAGATGTGTATGTATTAAACCCACCGAGAGATGCAAGGAAAGAATGCATTAATGCAGATCCAATCATTATTTCGGATAATACCACGTTTCGAAGTGGTACCTGCGTTAAGAATTGTCAAATGCTTCAGAACTATGGTGCTGTCGACTGATTCGCTGTGTCTCACGGAACATAACGTCTGTTAATCCTTGGGCAGAGTTGAATGGGCTGATGTTCTTAACTAAGAAGGTGTACGTGTCCCAGACAACGAGAGTTGATCTTTTGGACAGCCAAGACCCTATCAACATTGGATGTAACATTGTTCCCGGGGTTGAGACAAGGCGAAAGACCACTCTTTAGAGTTTGGCACCTGAAGTCGGTGTGCTGGAAATACTCTGGCTATCTGGTTAGGAAGGAGTTTCCGGCGCAGACCCCTGAGGCTTCCGGGGCATCGGGGCTTGGCGTGAACTCTGGTGTTTGGAATCATTTCGAGATACTCCAAGGGGCTTATGTTCCAGCCTCTGCACATGGAAGTTTCTTCCAACTGCAAAAAGAACTAAGAAGGGGGAACTGGACCGGTCTTTAGGCTCCCTCAAGCACGATCAGTTGGACGCCACACGGACATCCCAAGCCTTGAAACCGGCTGGTTCCGAAACCCTGTTAGTTCGTCGGTTGAAACCCGTAGCGCAGCCGTGCCGTGTAGATCACTAACAAAGCCACACGATCCGTACCCAGTGAGAGCCAAGGTGGCTTCGGGTTCGTATTGAGTTACGGTACTCCGTACCAATTAGTCAAGGTGACATGCATGTAACGTTCTGATTCATGGTCCCTGGCCGCTGTGAGGTATCTCCCTTTATCGGCGACTTCTTCTATAACCCTCTGTATTATTGGTCACTCCACCGCCCATCGCGATCACCAGCTCGCGGCTTTACGCCGGTTTCATCTCTCCCTATCAAAGGCTCCGGTATCGAATGGAGATGGAGTGTGGTGGCGGCTAGGTTGCCAGCCTGCCCTTTGGCGCTCTTGTGACGGATTTGTCCTCGTCTCAGGGGCAGTGAAGGGTCTTGCTAAATTCCTTTAGCTTTTGTCTACTTCTTTTCCTAACTCAAAACTTCATTGGTTAATCGACGTCTCTAGGCCTCCTGGCTTCGAGGGTACTCCACACCATCGTCATACATCCTCAACCTACATGTTTTCAGCTGACATTACTTTGTCCTCGATCCCGAAGCAAGATCCGTAGCAGAGCTACCAATTCAGAAGCGGTCTCAACTTCGCAGACATGTCGCAAGACGTGGGCGCAATGCCTCCGCCTAAAGGCGTGACACCCGACTTTGACGGGAGCACCACTCTGCAGCGCTCTGTCGTCGTCGTTTACTCATGTACCTTTGCCATCGCCACCGTCACCCTCGCGCTGCGACTCTATAGCGCCTCTGCCATTGTCCGAAAACTGGATTGGGATATACGCAAGTCTAGCTATTGGCTGATGTGCCTCACCTGAATTGCTAACGTTGGAGATAGCCCTGATCCTTCTGGCGTGGGGTGGATCGTTGGCCTTCTTCATTGGGGTGCTTCTCGGTAAGTGATGATTTGGTTGGCGAGAGGAACACAACTGACGTATATGCAGCTATTCCGTCTGGCTTCGGGAAACATCTATGGGATGTTCGAGCGACAGACCTTCAAGGGTATCTGAATGTAATGTTGCTTGACCATACTCCTACCTCTTTTGATCACATACTGACAAGGCGCTTGCTGTGAACAGCTCCTCCTCGTGCTCGGCCTCACATACGTCTGGCCTCCTACGCTCGCGAAGCTGGCCATTCTAGTGCTATACTACCGCCTTATCCCCAATTCGCGTTTCCGAATCGCTCTTTACACCGTTGCGGCTGGCCTCGTCATATACACCCTCGTCTTTACAATCTTGTTAGCTGGGCCATGTCATCCTCAAAAACATGGCACAAACACCTGTGTCGTCAATCTGACGGTATCGCAGGCGGTCCTCAACATCGTCAGTGACGTCATTGTTATCATGCTTCCAATCCCCTTTATCCATCGCTTGAACATGCCCTTGAAGCAGAGGATAACGGTTGGCCTTCTTCTTGCGCTCGGCTCTGCGTGAGTATCCCCAAACCTCACAATCCACCATGTCAATTCGCAGCAAGTCTAACTTGGCCATTTAGGGTCGTTATTGTTTCTTGTATTCGCTTTGGCTATGTGCAAAAGATGCGGGACAACCCCGACGTCACCTGGACCCAAGCTTCAGCTTCCCTTTGGAGCTGCATCGAGATGAACACCGGGATAATCTGCAATTGCCTCGCTCACCTGAAGCCTTTTGTTCGCCGACATATTCCCTGGCTTGCAAAGTTTGTCTCCAGCACGAGCCAACAAAAGTCCCATCCCGATGACGGCGACAACAGCCACAGTTTCAAGCGGTGGAGGGGTGACAAGGCAAGCCATGGGTATCAGCTACACAGTATCGGCCGCTCGCAACAGCCGTCTAGTAGCGGCACGGGCAATGATGCGGTTGCTATAGATGAGGTTCAAGTCGAGTTCACCCAGTCGAGAAATACTGGCCATGCCTCGAGTACAGAAGACATCTTGGGACATAAAGCTCAGCACATATGAAATAGCCCATTACCTACTATTAGATGTAGTCGATAATAATAGAAGAGAAGAGATTTCTTGCCAATACACATTAGAACAAATCCAGCCACCGTTTTGCCTGATCTTTCGAGATGTTCAACCCGACGTCAGGGCAATCTTTCCGTTGTGAACTTGCACGACCGAGTGACCCTTCACCAGTCGATCCTCTAGTCCGGGTATGGGCTCCTGGTTGGGCTTCTTCTGGCTCGTCGATGTTCATCTCATCAATGCCCATCTCATCGGAGTCACTGTCACTGCTATCTGACGATGACTCGGCCTCGTATCTGCCAGAAAAGTTGAGTCCACAACGTCGAAATGTCCGCTGTGCTTCTTTCTCCACCAGAGCTTTGCCAAGCGGCGTCTTCATAACTTCCATCACCTCTTGCGTTCTTTTAATGAAGTCTCCATCGAGTACAGAAGTGAATTCCCACGTATCAGAGGTTGCAGATCGAACAAACCGGCCTTCACTGCGGCGTGATCCGCCAGACGTTTTGCCAGTGCTCGTTTGGGGTCTTCCATCTTTCTTGGTGTTTGCCTTGCGGAAAGCCTTTGGCAGCTTGAACTGCGGACAATTCCCAATCCATTCACCTCTCTGATACGCCTCTTGAAGGAGCTGAAAACCTTCGTGTGTCGGCGTGTACCCAAACCAGCTTTTCGCTGGTGCATCCATCTGCCTCACGGCTTCCAGAGACACAACCGGCAACAGGGTTGCGTCACCCATTGGCGACTCGGTTGTCCCAAGAACTGGGTCACTGACCGACTTGCTGCCGGTCTGTAGGTTTTTGAGGTATTCCATCTCTTCGAATAGGTATGCTTCTCGTGCATTAAGGGACTCCTGCTCACACTCGGTTCCAATTTCGACGTCGAAAACAGCTGGGAATTTGGATGAAAAGGAATCAAAGTCATCTGATGACATCATGAAATCCTTTATGTCGAGGGGACCGCCATTCGTGCTGCGTTGGAATGCCTCACGAATGCTGGCCCCGCGTCCTGCTTTTAGGCCGAGAGCTCTATGGCTGACATCTTCAAAGTAACAGGTGTTTACGTACGTTGCCAGCTGTGTTTGCTGAGAGACAGAGGCGACAGCACGGGGGAAATTGTTCAGGATCTTCATCCACTGCCTGGAAACGCTTGTTTCAGTGTCAACAGTGCTGAAGTCTTGCTGTCGCAAGTAGGCTTGCCATTCATCAGACAGATTGCCTTCGAGATAGGGCTGGCCCAGGATCCATTTGCTCCACTTGATGACGGCCTCCCGAGATTCGGCATGTGAGATCTCAAACCACTCTCTGTGATCGTGTCCGCACTGACTGCATGCCAAGATCTTTCGTTTGGCAACGAGCTCGGCATGGATCAGGGCCTCGACACGCATCGCATGAGGGAGCAACGGCGTGTGAGCCACAACCTCAGTCACCGGAATGCAGCTCGCCAGCTCATGCGCACGGTGCTCAGGATGATATTTGGAGAAACCAATCTTCAACACCGACACTGTACTCAGGTCCATTTGCGACCGCAGAATGTAGATGTAGCCGAGACCTTGTCCCTGGAGTGCGCTGGGAGTCAACGGGCTGAGCATCTTGGCCCTGACCTCCTCACTGACAGACTTTCTGTCTAGATTGCTGGTCCTGAAGGGACGAAGGAGAGATTTGAGGGTTGGCCGTGGTTTGCTTTGCCCGAAAAGATGCTCTGCTTCGCACACAGCGGCCAATCCGGTCAACATTTTAAGCATGCGACTTCTGAAGGCTTCAGAGTCGGATGGCTTCTGCGCGCTGGAGCAGATGCCTGTTGCTTCTTGTTTGTTCGCTTCTGATCGAAAGATGAATGTCAACACTGTGGTTTTGTGAGGGGCTTCCGGCAGGAGATGTTTGCGTGACGATGCGTCCTCAAGATGATCTGAACCTATCCAGAGTCGACTAAGACGGGAACAGCTGCATTCAGTCTTCTGGGTGCGGCCCGGGAACAATTTTGTCCGAAAGGTTGCTGTGAATGACATCTTGGTGTGGTGGAGTCTGATGGTAAAGACAGTTGGATAAGCGTCAGAGCTTATTAGCTGTGCCATTGCGGATTGAGGTTTTTGGATGTTGTAGGTAGAAGAGAGTAGGGAGCAAGCTAGAGCAGAGAGCTAAGGACATGCATTGTGTCTACAGATGACAGAGGATAGTGCTGTCTTTTATCCCAACGCTGGGCTGCTTCTACCTAACTGCAAGAAGGCAGACCTTGGCCTTTTAAGTGGCCAACACTCCCTAAGCGTGGGGGAGATACCAATTTGGGGAACCAAAATTCCCTATTCAAGTTGATATGGAATTGACGCAATTCTGCCCTGCCGTGGGGGAGATTTCCAGCTAAGGCAATTCAACTACCTATTTGAGTAAGTAGACCATTCACTGAGGCCATGTTGCCTAATCGTTGGGAAAGACTTCTGATTCAGGTAACCTAGGTCTGTTGAACGGCCACAAAGAAGCGGCCATGCTCAACCACCCTCAACCTAGGTTTCAGGTTTCTCAGTCCGGGCCTAGCATCAGCTTGGCTTTGGAAATGGAAAAATACTTATCATGCTTGAGTTTTGTGTCTCAGTTGTATGGAATCGACTACTAAGGTAAGTCGCTGTCCCTCTTCACTCTTATCCTTCGCTTAACCGCATTACATTTCGGCATCAAATATACTCGACGGTGAAAATGGCGGGTGCGTAGCCATTGACCGCCGTAAAAGTCTGGCTCGGAACGTTGAACCTAACATCCTTGTTGTACATGGCCTGAACAGCCGATGCCGGGGGCTCGTTGAGACTCTTCCAGCCCCCTTCGCCGAGTGAATGGCACCAGAGGGTCACCTTGTCACCGTTCCTAATGGCCGATCCATTCAATGGCTGCCACTTACCACTCGATTCCAGCTTGCAGAAAGAGAAGCGGGTTGGACCCCGGTTCTCCTGCTGTGGGACGAGCTCGCCGTTTGTCTTATTGAAAAATATTGTGTTTGCATCCTTGCCAGGGGTTCGGCGCGCGTCGTCCTTAAATGTAAGGAGGGTATAATCTCCAAGTAGCTATATCAACAGTCAGCCTTCCGTGTATACACAATTCGCTGATACCATGGGTTGGTCTCACGCTGATTTTAGGGCCAGCAGCTTCGTTGTTGGGATCACCGTCCCTGACTGACAGGGGCCACAAGACCGTGTTTGAACCTATCCAGAGACGGATCTTGCTATCTTCCTTCCACGGCTTGTTTGCATCAAACTTTGATTCGACGGGAGCAGGAGTTGGGTCTGGTAGCTTCAGGGCGGTCTGTCGATACACTCCGCTAAAAGAAATACTCAGGACTTGCAGTTATCTTTATAAAACTTATATCAGGGTGTCTCCTATTGCTGCAGGTAGGTGTATATCCTTCAGTGGCTAGATTCTCTCGGTTATTAGCCCTTGTTACGGAACACGCCCAGTCCTTTCGCCATGATCTAGGATTGTGCTATTGGAGGTCTGTTCGTATTCTCATTCTGCCATTGTACTTAGTTGCGGCGCAGTCAAAGTCATGAGTGCTTCCGAAGAGCAATAGTCATCATCCAGCCGAGTCGGGCTCGCTCTGGACTTCAATAATGTTGCAAGTCTCATCAATAGTTTTCCTATCCGGGGAACACTTTATCAGCTGAAGCAACACATATGCGTATCCTCCTGCGGGTTCGTCCGCAGCTCCACTTAGGTGCAGGGATATTGGCGATGGACTTCTCTTGGCTGTCCATACAAGGCAATGATGTTCGCTCCGATGGTCGCTGAGCACGTCTGGGCAGATGCGGGCCGGCAATAGTCTCTTGTTTAAGCTCAACACTAGTGGTCTAGGCCTGTGGTCGCGATCCAGCTCTGTGGCCTGGAATCATTGAGATCAGATTGCCATAGGCCTCCAACCTGGCCGAGGCATCTGATAAGGCAATATTGGAGCCAAGGTTACACTATCTGGGAAACTGTCTGCGCACGTGGTAGTCGATGAGCATCAACAGTTCTGATATAAATAGTCCATCTATATTCTACAAAATCCTCAATATTTCAACCAAGCTCGCTCATACCTATCAGGATCTTGTCTGTTATTTGCCAAAGCCCATCCGTCCATTCGCACTATCAGTTTTCCCCAAATCTCTCACTTTTTTACTTGCCATTCAACACAAGACAATCTCCTCTACCATCCCCAACAACAAAGACATCATGGGCTGGAATCAGTGGGCTCTCTTCCGCTTTTCCAACAAGACATATGACGACACCCTGAAGCTCGTATTCCCCAACAAGGGTGACCACTGGGGATGGCCGTTTGCCGACACCCAAGACAGCGGTACCCGCAACAGAATCACCTACGATGAGATCCAAGACAAGGAAATAGGGCCCCAGACCTCATACGCGTACGGTCAAACTGGCAAGCAGAATGAATGGGCTGGCATGGAGGGAACAGTCGATATCTGGACCAAGGCGGCTGCGGGCATCTCGGGGCAGAAGATTGCGCGGGTCTACTATTCCTGTCCCTGGAGTGGTAAAAACCAGTTCACTATCACAGATATCGCTTCAGGCTGGAATGTTACGCACTGGGGTGCTGACTACGATGGGGATGCCCTCGGGTCCATCACCATTGAGGTCCGTCGTACTTAGAGTAAGGCATTCATGACAGCCTTACAGGATGTATTAGGAAGTGGGAATCAGGTTGTAGTATTTGTTTAGGATGGGCTATGAATTAAACGCTGTATATGTATGTTGTTCTACTACTCACCGCGACTCCACCCGCGCTCTGTTCAACAACAGCTCAGGTGGCAATGCAGCTTGCTGGTCGAGATAGCTTCTCACTGTTGCAAATGGCCAATGCTCGATGATAAAGTTCTTCAGTGAAAACAGTAGCGAGACCGTCCGGCAGCTCCTAGCAACATGAGATTACTTCTATGGTCCCGAGGCATGATTCCAAGGTACACACTAACAATTCCACGTTAGTTCGAAGCCATGTCACCCTGAGGGGTTAGACCTAGACTACGGCTTGAGATGATGGTTGCCCATCCCAGGCCACACTTTACAGCTCGACGTGTCTCATGTCTCGCAACGTGTTTACTTGACCAGAGAAAGGAGAAAAAAAACTTGGCAACACAGCTGAGACTGTCTCGATTGGTGTAGTGAGGTTTTGCATCGTCTTATCCGTTTTCTATCTTAGTCGACATGGAGGGAACGCAAAGAAAACTTTGTGGCCATTTTTTACCTTGGGCCTTTGCAATACGCACCGGACTATAGAAAGCAAAATTCAAGACTTAAATATTCTAAAGAGACACTTGTAGGTTGTCTAATGCTTTATAGCACAGTAGTATGTCGCCTACGTATCTATGGAAAGATATAGCTGAGCCAAGTTGGCGAATGGTCACGGTGTAGGGTAGGTGCCGTCAGGAGCAGGCCGGCACACCGACCTGATCTGTCTCGGAAGTACCAACACCCTTGAACAGAAAGTGAGAGCCTGTTTGACCATCATAAAAAGGGATCCAATGTCTTAGTCATGGTAGTGTCCGGAAATGTTACCTGGTAAGGGAGATTGATATACATCAACTAGGTACAGGATTGTTATGTGAGAGATTGATCTGCACCTAGTTGCCGTGTTTGGCTGCAGCTGATACCAGGCTCCCATGTCAGTGAAGAAGTTGAGGAAGGGTTCGGGCCGTTGTGGAACGTGGCATTGGAAAGCAACCCACCGCTCGCCTGCCCCTTTGACTAGTATGTTTTTGAGCTGCCGGGGGTTCATGCTCCTGGCTAAGCCCTGTGTTGATCGAGTCAGTCGAGTTGTCATGCAACTTCCATGTGCTCATCGCATTACCCAACCGCTTCCCCAGGCCGGGAATGGGGGAATAAAGATAAGGCTCCAAGGATCATTAAGTGGCTGTACCGGTGGCTGATCACGCAACCGCCCCGGTTGAAAATCTGGGTTAGCCGCGATTTGGAGGTGAAATATAGCTCGAGGCCTACTTATCTGTGAAATGATTGGACGCTGGTGCAGATATTCCGACGGGTAGGGATACGGAATACCGTATTGAGATTTTCGGGTAAACTTCAGTGCTTGATCTCCGACGCTTGGTCTTAACAGTGGCTGGTACACTATCCTGGGCAACCGCTTCGGCTTTCCCAGCTCTCCATATCACCGCCTTCTAGCAACTGGCCTATATCCCCTCTCTTCACTCTGCCGTGAGGAGAATAGTTCGGTTTGATAGGGAATAGCTTGCCCTTAAAAGCAGGCCGGTATACACATCGTCGAATGAAAATAACCAGTGAGTTCCACGACTGAATGGGGTGGGCAAAAAGGGGTTTGTCTGGGGAGCTCTTTCAGAAGCACTGCTTCGGAGTAGTCCATAAACTTCTCAGTAGTATTTCGGCAAACTTTTCTACATGACGAATCTCCCTCCTGACTCCACTCAGGCTTTGTGGCCAGCTTGAAGCGCGAGCTGACCTGGTGGATATACTGACTCTCGGCTAGCGACCAGGACACTGGCCCAGCCAGAAACCCACGGGCCGATTCCCCAGGATCTCCATCCTTCTACGGAGTATAAAAGTCAAATTTTAGTTAGTCCACGAATCTCTATTGCCATAGATTGCACACTGGGGTTACGAAGATGATGTAATCATCCTAGACCTGTCAATGCTACGAAGGTTTACGAGGTTGACCCATGGACTCCGCGCATGAACTGATCTTTCTGCAGCCAGACCCATATTCCACTGTTGCATAACCGTAGAATATCCGAAACCCCTTCAACCGAGTCAGCTCTTCCTCGTGAAAGCTGATGGCTGCTCGACCAGTCCACTGTTCGACTTACAGCTGAGCTGACAAATGTCCAACACATCACTCACCCCAAGGCACGACGAGAGTCTAGATCTAAAGAAAGTAAACTATTTCTTAACCTTATCTCTTATTTGACAAACGCGGAGATCCAACGTCCTCCCTGGTGTGCCGTACATCCGGGCCCACCACGGAGCCTTGCAATTCAGCTGACGCGACTTGATAGTGAATTGCATCATCGGGAATAAAAAGGCCTGGACCAACACCTCGGCCCTCCCTCCCGTCACACAATTACATCTCCAGAAGACGTTTTCTACAGAAACACTGCCAAGACGACGTTGGTTCCGTTGTCGGTGGCATACATGGTTCCACCTCGTGAGCCGACTATGGCGGCGCGGCTGATGATAAGGCTTGACGATGCGGCCGTTGGAGGATGGCGATATTCGCTCGATTCATGCCCCGGATTTGCTATTGGATGGGGTAAGAGAGCAAAGTGGGAGACCGAGATGTGGGAGTTTGAACTGCGGGATACACGTAGGATTTAAGACTTTGCATACCGCGCTGTTCATGGTACATCCTCAGCCAATTCTTGCCAGATCATTCGAATAGTCAACATGGCGTGGTCAGAAGCTTTCGGCCGTTTGGCTTTTGCGAAGAAGCATGACAGAACTCCAGAGGAGCGCGCCTTTGTTCGCAGATTAGACCTGTTTCTCATGACATTTGGATGCATCTCCCAGGGTAAGTAAGAATCTTTTACTGTGTCATCTGCCCTCTAACCAGAGCTTATCATTTAGTTATCAAGTTCTTGGATCAGACAAACATCACATCCGCGTACGTGAGCGGCATGAAGGAAGATCTTGAGCTGTTTGGAAATGAGCTGAACTTGTGAGTGATACAAACGTGAGACTGAGACTCCCGCTGACCACAACCAGCTTCACGACCTACTTCAATATCGGCTACTGTATCATGCTCATTCCCTCTCAAATCATCCTGACCTATGTGCGACCAAGCATTTGGCTTTCTACGCTCGAGATTGCTTGGGGTGTCATCACTGGCCTGATTGCTATTGTGCACAATGAGAAGCAGATTTACGGACTCCGCTTCGTCCTTGGTCTGCTGGAGAGCAGTGCATGGCCAGGCATGATCACCTTGCTGAGTGAGTCACCCCTTTCTGCCCTGTTTCGGGAAATAAGCTGACTTCTTAACCTCCAGTGTTGTGGTATACTCCCTCTGAACTGGCAAAAAGAATGGGTTTCTACCACTCTGCGCGAGCAGTCGGTGGTATGATGTCTGGAGCCCTGCAAGTTGCGATCTTGAACACTCTTGACGGACACAGTAACCTCCCTGGTTGGCGGTAAGAATTCCCCCCAATAAACATTGGACATGAACTAATGGTGGTGCTGCTAGATGGCTTTTCATCATCAACGCCATCATGACCATCGTGCTTGGTTTCTTTGGTTACGTCATGCTTCCTGACACTCCCAACAAACCAAACCCCTGGGCCAAGTGGTGGTTCACTGATGCTCACGCGCAAATCGCTATGAAGAGACTTGAGCGACATGGCCGGTCTGAATCCAAAAAGATTACCTGGGCCGCGTCCAAGTAAGCATTGTCCCTTACAGGGAACCCTTCCCCAGCTAACGGATGTATAGGCGAGCTGCTCGCATGTGGATCACGTACTACATCCCTGCCTACTGGGTGGTCAGTGGATTGAGTGCCGGAGCACTTGGATACTTCAACGTCTTCCTTCGGTCGCTGATGGACAGCGAGGGCCAGCCAGTCTGGACAAAGACGCAGGTCAATGCAATTCCCATTGGTGGAGGTGCTATCCAAGTTGTCTGCAGTAAGTTAATCCCCTCACACAAGAAGCCTCCTCTGACTCGCAATCAAGTTTGGTTCTGGTGTATTCTGTCAGATTTGTTCCAGGTCCGATGGCAGCTCATTGTCACCCAGAGTAAGTGATCACCTTCAACATTTCCGACTGGGGTACACTAACACAGTCAGGTGCCATTGGCCTTATCCCAGCCATCATCATGACGATTTGGACACGGGACCCCGACAGTGTACCTCTGAGTGCAGCTTACGCAAGTTACTTCATGACTTACATGGTCCAAGCCTCGGGCCTTATCCTCCTAGCTTGGTTTACCGATATGTGAGTTCCGTTTATGCGTCCTTGAAGTTGATAATGTTTCTAATCTACGTGAACAGGTTCCCAGGAGAGCCCGAAGCTCGTGCCTTGATCGTTGGAATATCGGTTGTCGCTATCTACGCTGTCGACGCCGGCAGTCAAGTATCAGTTTGGCCAGCTACCCAAGCACCGTACTGTATGTATTACCATGCACATTTTCTGCTAGCGAGATGCCATGGATAAGCGCTAATACTTCTTACTAGACAAAACGGGTTGGGTTGTCATGCTCTCCATGTGGACTGCAGGCATCATCCTCATCGTCACACTACACTTCATCGACAAGCGTTATGTTACGTACGTACTTCTTGACCACTGGCTGGTGGATAGTGAATACTGACGATTCATCCAATAGACCGAAGCGGATCGCCACTTCCGAGCCCATCCAGACCGTAGAGTCTGAGAATGAATCGGCTGGGCCCGATAAGAACGAGAAGCGAGTTCATGTCAGCAGCTTGGCATAGGCTGGTTTCAAGCGCATCATTTATGACTAGTATGATGGAAGAGACGATGAAGGGAAAACTTAAGTCACGAAGCCACAAGAGTAGATATTTGCCTAGTGTGAGCGTCCAAGGTCGATCCTCATCTGTACCGCAACTGCACCTGTCTTTTCCCTGTTCCGTTAGTACTTGTAACACCTTCACTGACAAGCATCTTCGCTGATGATCAAAAACACTATCAGGAAGCATGACAAGAATCGGTTTTAAACATGTGATCATGGCTAGTCAAGGCACCGGAGAGCAAGGGCATAGGAATATTATTAGTAGCCACTACCTGATGAAGAGTCACAGCTCGTTGCCACAAACACACCCCAATACCACAACCCAGTCCCTATCCTCCACGTCTTTCCTCCGCGCCTATCCTCCAACCATAACCATCCCGAAAGCAGCCAGGAAAATCCGGCGTCGTAGTTTAGAGAATGTCAACGCAGTTGGCAAGAGCAATGTTGATCAAAGTGCCCTGCTAATGTTAGATGAAAACCACTGACAGTGTGAAGAAGAGTCACTTACCTTCTCAGCTCCAGTGTTGCAGCAGTAAGCGTTTCCGCCCTTGCATTCCTCTCCAAGAAGCTGGACAGCGCAGGCGAGAAGGCCAGTGCAGCAAACCTGCTGGTTCTCAACGGAGCAGACCTTGTTGTTGCTATTGGTGTTGGTCGTGGTGGTAGTGGTAGTATCACCGCCCTGGGGCTGGGGGGCACTCTCACGGCCGTCGTCCTCTCCGCCGCCGAGGATGGGCAGGCCAGGAGCAGGAGCTGCAGTGACAACAGCGGCGATGGCGAGGATGGAAGCGAGAGTGAACTGCATGTTGAAGATGGGTGGTAAAGATTGGATAAGATGAGTGAGTTGTGGAGTTTGTAGCGAGTGAGTGATGATTGCTGAAGATGTTGGAGCTGATGAAGAATTGGATGCATTCGAGGGACGGAAGAGTCTGACTTTATAGTTGATCGCTGCCCTTGTTTGCTCTCAACTTCAGGTAAGAGATGAAGAGAAGGTCTCCTCCGTCTCACTGTTTTCGCTGCCTCGCCCAGAGAATGCATCTCTCCTCCGAATTCTCACAGCATTCGTCCAGAGAACCATTCGGCCGTGGTTTGTCTCGGGCACCAACTGCCGGGAGATCAGCTAGTGCTAATGTCGATCTTCCGCTCAGGCCCACCAACCGTCACAGGGCTGAAGATCACCCCGAGATCCGGTCGGCAGTTCAAAGACTGACTGCCGAATGAGGAGTCTAGGAACTTTTGCAGCGGCCACTGCGCATATTCGATCCTCTGTCGGCCGGGTGGTTCTTGTGTAATGTGACATCATTGGGAGCTATGGTAAACTGCCAGAGTTCGGAGTTTCCCATGAGATTTCCAGTTGCATGCAGCTAAGGGAAATCCCGTAATGGGAGATTGAAATTCTGGATAAGAGTAGCATCATATTGCAGGCCGACAGCCTGAATAGGCAATGACGGACGGCCCGGCTTGCGATTATTGGATACAACATCGTCATGTCGCTCCCCTTCCCCAGCTGTGTGGTAAGCGGCGGTAGGGTGCCAGGTACTATCAGAACCTTAAGCTAATTCTCAAGGGGACTCAGACCCTGTTGGCCAGATTGGGTGTTCGTGTTCTGAGTTGCAGCTGTAAAAGGGCCGTTTCTAAGCCACACCGTTGGCAGAAACCTTTTTCTTTCAAGCCACATCGTTGCTGTTAATGTCCATGGCAGCTGGCTGCATCTCCATAATATCATTCATCTTGTCTCAATGACTTTTTTGACATGCTTGCGAACATCGATACCTCTACGCTGGCAAGATGCTGTGCAAGGATTGGGCTAATAACCAGACTTTGGTCTTTGGACTAACTATCACGAGATGCTGGATTATGTTAACTGAGCATTACAAGATCTTAGCAAGCGGTTGGATTGTCTGGGCTGCATTGATCGACAGGTCGGCCTTTTTATTGTAGTATTGCCGAGTTCCGGCTGAAATGCTACCTGACGCGAATGCTGGTTGTTGGTCACGTCCCTGCACGTCCAAACTTGCTCAAAGAAGATCACTTCTGGATGAAGATAGTGCCTTAGCAAGAGAATAGTCTGCAGAGAAAATCCAACCGTCTCTCGATTCATATCTGCGCGCACTGAGGACAGTAACATGCGCGCATTGGCAAGAAACCTGTTTCTTCCAACCACACTCATCCACTCCCCTCTCCTGACCTCATTTCCGAAGCATGCCGACGATCTATACTTGGGTGAGCCCAAGGCCTCAATGGTGACTTTCAGGGAAGAGAGATCTGCAGGCTGGCAGTTCTCCATTGCCTTTCCCCAACTTGGCCATCCTATCCTCGACTTACTGGGCTTTAAGCCTGACCACTCTTCCTCAGAAATGCGAATGGAACTCCCCGTAATGTCTTCGATGAGTGCCATGGTGCAAACTGAAAAGAAACTTCTCGGTGTTATTTTACGCGATCTGCGTTCATGGTGGGTGGTAATGGTGATGGCATCACCTCTGGTAGTACAACTCACGGTGTTTGTCTTCGTCAACTTCGTCACGGCATACGTTCCAATCTGTTTCTTCTCAGTCTGAATATTGGATTGTGCTTTTCTCGGGATCTCCCAGACCATGGGAGGTTTGCAGGACTATGGCCGTGCTTGATGAGTCCGAATCCAACTTGCCCTCAAGGGTTACGTGCGGGGAGCGGAGCAGGCATGCCAACCGATTACGAGAGTATATACATCACACTGGGAAGGACTGGCCAGTGAGAGACCAATTAGGGGGTAGAATTTGCAAGGCTTTAGGGTGGATTGGCACGCGTTGTTCATCGTCTGGACGCTTTCACTTCCCCTGTCATGGCTATTTCTCAATATTTATTGAACTGGACTGGAGGGTAGGGACACTTCTTGTGTGTGGTGCCTGCATCGACACAAAAGTTGTGCATTTTGGGCACTGTTATAGTACCTACGTTGGCTTGTCTTCTTGAGGGTCCGTGAATAGCCCCTCTCCTTGAACTATTTCCCCTTGAGTGTGCTTTTGGTGTAGGGTGGTTCACATTCACAAATTCAGTGGGAAACCCTTTGACCTTGGTTATGGATTGTGATCTCAAAAGTCATACCGTATTAATCGTACCATTCATTCCTCTTGCATATCTGCTCATGAGACGTAGCTGTCCCGTGCTGCACCTCTATCTATCTACTTTAGGTCTTCGATGAAGGTGGACGAGGCCTTGATTCGATCAGATAAATACTCTTCATGCCACTAGCAGGCTAGTTCGTTACCTTTTTAGGAGCTCTCGAATACAGCTGCTTTCCATCCTTCTCGAAGCCAGCAATAACATCCTGCCCCTTGTCGCTGACGAGCCACTTCACAAACGCGGCGGCCTGGTCAGCGTTGGGTGCCTTGGTACCAACCAAGGCCCGAGCAGGGTTCAGAAGGAGATCATCGGCGTCATCGGAACCAGCTTTGTAGATTTTAGTCTGGTTTCTCAGACCGGCGTCAAGAGACAGAATTGTCCCTCGGTCTGTGATGGTGTACTCGTTGAGTAGAATAGCGGCGGTGAGTGCCTGGATGGGAAAGGCGATGTATTGGTGATACCAGGTCGAGTACGCAGTGGCCCACGGAACCTGCTTGGGGATTAACGGGGTTGTATGGAACAGGACAGGCCATACATACTTGTCCAATACCAGCCCAAAGAAGAGTCTCTTTGATGTTGGTCGCAGACTTGTCGTAGCGACTGAGGAAGCGAACAGGCGGGTTGGTAGCATTCCCCTCGGCCGCCTCGTGGAGGGTGGCAAACATGGTCAGGATGTCGTCCGACTCAGTGAGATTAGCAGGGTTGCGCTCTGGACCGACGAGTAGGAAGTGGTCACGGAAGGCGTAGTAGCTGGGTGACTTTGCAATGCCCTGCTTGATCGAGATGTTCTCAGCTGCCTCATTGTACGTGATGCCTACATCTGCGTCTCCTGTCTTGAGGTACTGGATGCTGTAATATGTGTCGCTCTTGATCCAGGCTACTTGGAAGGGATCCTCGCCATCCGTGACCCGATCTTTGATGTATGCATTGGCGAGCTCTGTGGTGTGTCAGTGAGAGGTTTAGACCGTCACACTGCAAACCTACCTTTGATCAGCCCACTTTGACCGGCACCCCCATTAGCGATGCGCAGCTTAATAGAGTCGTTCTTGCCAAAGTCAAAGCCGCCGCTATAAACGTCCTCAGGCTCGACTGCCACGGAGCTGCCGAGAAGAAGAGCGGCAACAAGAAACAATCTCATGGCTTTGGTCTAGTCTAGTCGCGTACACTTCTGGTTGGCGAGAGAGGGCGGAAAAGGGGATCGGTGAGAGAGGCAACCATCATTTTTTGGTTGAGGTGAAAGGGGCATATAAATCAGAATTCATCGCGCCAGAGATTCAGCTCAGCTCGCCTCAATCTGCACTAGTCAGACCATGTCTCAGAAGGTATTGCGAGCTCTAAGTCGGCGCATCCACTATGGGCAAAGATCGACATAAGCATTAGCGGCACAAACCAGTAGCTCGCCAGGGAGAAAGCTAGAAGTCTCGCGAGTGAGTGGTACAATGGCTGCAAAATATTCGTGACAGCTTCCGTAGGCTCCGAGCTGCAGATTTTGTCGGTGAAATACCGCATCTCAAGAAGTATAGGTCGATATGGTTCTACACGAATCAAGACAAGCAATGTTGCTGCGGGATGAGCCGTAACTTTGCATTCAGAAGGTGGGCATGATCCATGTTTAATTTGATCGGCACTGAATGCTGCAGAGTGTGGCCTACGCTGCGTTTTCACATTCCTTGTCTTGTTCAGACACGAATCAGGTCCCTTCTTACAGGAGGTTGGGGTGACAGCCACTGCCGACAGCTGTCATATGTACTCGCTAACCGCCTAGGCCGCCGCCCAAGACGCATTAGCTCTCCAACCACCCGTGCTGATGGGCGATCACAATTGATCCTAGAAGTTTAGCTGGACGAGTCTGTTGACTACACGTCGACATGGCTAGCCAGTCTTGGTAAACCAAACCAATTTGGCGACCGCGATTCGCCAGCCAGCTTGGAGGAGGCTAGCTCGCAGCACGCCACATCGTTTCCACCGCTGCCGGCTGAACAAGATCACGACCTGCCTGGCCAGTCTGAGAGAGTTTCATCCTTGTCCTTGTCATGAAGCTAGCATTTTGAGCTTGAAGATCCGAGTCCACTAGTCGAGTTTGGCTGAATGACATAGCGGTGAGATTTGATGCGATGTCGCAATTTGTAAATTGTGTATAGACCGATGGCTGACTGGACATGGCAGCCGGTGGAACCACGTGGAATAATTCTTACTCTAAAAGGTCCGCTTCAACACAATAGTATTAGTTATGTCTTAGAACAACGTAGCACTTGATCAATCAACTCTTCGATATCTTTGCCAGCTCCGCCATGTAACCAGGAACCCCTCCAGGCACCTCTCTCTCATACCAAGCCTCGTAGTCGTGGAGTGAAAGCGTCGCCTCGTGCATCTCTACAATCTCTCTGCTATCCCAGACACCCTCCCGCCGGTTCAATAACCGCAACAAGTTAAGCGCACGTTGTCGTTGATCCATGTCTGAACAAACACGGACGACAAAGGAGAGGTTGGAAACAAGGTCGCCGTCGAAGGAGAAAATAAAATGATTCGGGTGAGAAATTTCTTTCACCAAAGATTCCGCAGCATCGAGAAAGTCGGCTTGAGGATCGGCTTGAGGATCCAGGTACGGCTCAGGCGCAAAGTCCATGTTCATGCACCAGAATTTCTGTGCGACTGTAAGACTCAAGAGCTGTCGAGACATTGTTTGAGGATATTGTAGGTGTTCCAGTGTCTTCTTAGTCAGATCAAACCGAGATATCCATTGTTTGAAACTCCTTTTCAGCTCCTCAAATAATGCATCTGCATCCGCGTCGTCATGCTGACCTTCTGTCTCTTGATGCTCTGGAAGCTGCAACGAATCGCTTGGTTCTGAATATTCTTTGAAATCTACTCTGGTAATCTTGGTGAATTGAAGACCAAGTTGGCGCAACTCGTATGACGCCTCCTCCAAATCTTGGAACGGTCTTGTCGAGAGGTCGATATTGGCATTGGCCGGGGCCACGCTCCAGCTCTGTCGTATATCCGGTAAAATGGCGTCATCCATGAAGATGCTTGCCTCGAAGCTCAAGTGTGAGAAAATCTCGTTGAGCTTCTAGGTCATGATGCAGTCCTCTTTACTAGAAGTAAGGGCGGGTAATGTGAGGAGACGGTTGCCTGCTCGAAGGTGCCGAAGGGATTCAGCATGGCGGCCCGAAATACCCTCAAAGGCGATGAATAGAAGACAAGAAATCAGGGTACAATGGATATTGTGAACCGAGTCAATCAACATGTGTGGTATGATCCGGGAAACTGCCTTATTGTACTGGGCTGTGAGTAATTCCATCCGTTGTGGTGAGTGAGTGTCGTAGCCCGCCATGAAGAATCGATGGGCGGCACCAACAGCAATAATGGCATTTTTGATAGGCTCACTTGCGTGAGAGAGTGGGAGAACATGTTGAATCCAAAAGTTTGTCGTCTCAGGAGAATTGGAAAGTTGCTTGCAAGTCCAGTGATAGAAGTGGTGAAAATAGCATCTCTCAAGCGGAACATCCGAGACAAGATTGCTGACCCCAGTAAGCGGTAAGGTCTGGGACTTCTGAGCTGGAACCTTGAGGTGCTCATCTTTTGCCTTGTTGGTTGGAGCATAGCCGTCACACTTGACGCCATCATTACGGCAACGGAGACATATGGGCTTCTCCTCGTCGCACTTGAGATGTCTAATCCTGCATTGGTCAGCGATGAGACTCATCCACTGAATCTCACAACAGCTAACTTACTTGCTATTCCATGAAAGAGGCAGGACGCGTCAGCATTGCCAAGTCCCTCTTTGAGAATTTTTGGTATTTTTGTTTCACGTACCATGAAATGCATCCCGTCCGGACCTTTCGGGCATATGCCCGTCGGAATCTTGGCTTCTTGGCCAAGGGTACAGACTCAGGATCCTTCATTCTCAGTATGCGGGTGGTTGATGAGAGCTGCTTGACATTCAGCATACGCGGGCGCCATTGGTATTAAATAAAAGCTCTCCACCTTGCTGCTTTTACGAATTAGCCAATAATATGGCCATCTAAGATCCGCAATGACTCTGGTTTGGCCCGCGTGGCCCGAGAACTTGAACGGCTTCTGAAATTAGCAGGGGTTAGGGAGTTGACGCAAGCTGTTCTCACCAGTTTACTCCAGGAGACGCGTTTTTCGCTTTTCACGAGAGCTGGAACAGTTCAGGGGACAGAATGGTTTGACTACGCGAGGTATCGCCGTGCTCGGTTTAAGAAGAAGCCACCCAACAAAATAACGAAGAACATAGTTCTTACCTAACGATGTCTATACAAGCTCGTCACTGTACCCAGCTGTGAGTAATTAAGGCAATCACAGTAATTTTTTCTTATTCTTATAAGAGCAGTCATAAACAGCCTATTGTGTGTTCACTTGAATGGGGACTTATTGATTGCTTTTCAGAACCTGTATATATTAGGTCATTTTCTATCTCTCACCACTGCGTAGCAGGGGCAAATCGCCTCTGTCATCAAAACAACTCTCTATCTTACACTCTACCTACGAGGACCAAATCTAGAATCTACTGGTTGTGGTGCTCATTGCAGTACTCGCAGAGATTGCCACCAGGGAAGGTGACGATGTTGCGGCAGTCGCACTTGTCGCAGCTGCAAACAGGGTTAGCCATGTCGACGGGGGCCACGGTAGTGGCAGTCTTGGCAGTGGTGCCGGCCTTGGTGGTGTTGGTGTGAGAGCACATGGTGAATGTGGTGTAGTGTGGTGTGTGGTTTGTGGTAAAAGAGTTGCTGGATGGCAAAGTGTTGTTGAGAGTTGAATGTGGTTTCTGTGGTTGTGTGTGAGTGTTGATGATGAGAAGAAAGTCTTGCTTGAGCTGGGAGCAACCTTTCATTATATAGACTATTGGAAATACATCTATGTCAATGATAGTGTCTGTTGTCTTGGTGAGTTGGTGTTTTGGCCATGATCAAGACCCCCGAACGGTCAAGTCGAACAAAGGATTTTACCCCAAGAGCGAAGATGCTTTAAAGATAATCACTGAACATCACATTTCATATTCTCCTTGGTGATTCCAGTTCTTGAACTATGGTGGAGGATTGACTACTGAGTAGCATATTATTTACTATTGTTCTACGGAAAGGGCTACTAGGTTCTTTGTCATTGTGGCTGCTACAGTGCTACCATATTTTGAAAGGTTTACTACGTTCACGTCGTTGTTCAAAAATACAGTGAAAAACTACGAGACATCGACTGTCTTTGTTAATAGCTTTCTTTTTGGCACGGCTCTTTTTTCTACTGATCGGGCTTCGGCTTTCTTGAACACAAATCATACCATGCGTTCTTTGATTAGGTAGACGTAGTAGTCTTTATTGAGAGGGACAATAGTGCTAGAGGTCGACAGGAATTGAAAATAGATTTCACTGGCGCTATAGCTAAAGCAACCAATGAATCTGGAAGTGCTCAGGCATGCCCTCTAAATAACAAAGACAGTCATCAACATGGCGCTCAGCAACCCGATAGAGGCAGCAACTCTGCTACCACCACCAACGGCCGGGGTGTGAGTCACAGTTCCAGATGGAGTTGCAGGAGTAGTTCCAGATCTGGTGCCATTACCTCCACAAGTAGCCTTCTGCTTCAGAAGCTTAAGCTCGTCGCCCACAGCTCCAGTGTCACCTCGAATGAATTGCCACCGCAGCTCGCCCTCGTCAATAATAGACATCTTGCCAAATCCAAAGTGAGTCTGGTCAAGAACCTGAGTAAAGTTCTTGATCGGCTCATCTTTAGCCAAGAAGCTGTGACTTTCAATGTTTCCAGCGGCACCGTTGGTGATGTGAGTAATTGATTTGCCGTTGTTGACGCGGTAGGTGCTGTTGTCAAGGACAGAGCCCATGTCGATGGTGCCGTTGAAACCCATCGGCAGAAGGCGCTCATACCAGTGAATATGTCCGGCGATGTAAACATCAACACCATGCTTTAGCATCAACTCTTCCCAAGCAGCACGCATGTTAACCTGGTATGTAGAGACCTCTGAGCTGTAGAGTGGACGGTGGGACATGACGACAACCCAAGGAGTCTTGCATCGGTCAACACTGGCGAGGTCCTTCTCGAGCCACTGATACTGTTGATAAGCCTTCTTGTCATTGATATCTCCCTCGACCTTTCCAAACGGACCCGAGTCGGTCACGTAGGTGTCTCCTGGAACAAGTGTATCGTTGTGCTTCTTGGCCTTGTCGCGAGCAAATGATGACTCTGGGCTGTTGGGGTAGTCCGTCTCACCGTTGAGCGAGACAAAGTGGGCGAGACCATAGTCGAAGGAATACCAAAAGTTGCCGACACCGCCAGAAACATCACCCGGCATCTGGAAACGGTACTGATAGGCGGTAAAGTTTCGCTGCGAAGGCGGGCAGCTGTAGTAGGTGAGGTTCGAGGTCTTAGAGGTGCCGTTGGCCTTGTCGTCATTGAGATAGGCAGTCAACTCGTTGTTGGGACCGTCAAACTCGGAGCAAGTCGCCTCGTGGTTACCAGGAAGGACCATGTATGGGATCTTGGTAGTGATGGCACCCATCCACTGCTGCCAGAGATCCCAATTGGACTCGTAGATGACGTTCATGTCTCCACCCTGAGGGCCTCCCTGATTCGGTATCTCGCCCTCTGTAAGAGGAGTTTTGTACTCCTCGGGGATCGGACCACCTCCAGGAAGCTCGGTATCGGTGCCGTTGTAGCAGAGGGGCCAATCGTCAGTGCAGGGCAGAATTCCAGAGTACCAGTCGTCAGCGTAGGAAATATCACCACCATGCCAAGCAAAAGAGGCACCGTTGTCAACGGCTTTCTCAAGGTATTTGTGGGTGCCTTGAGCATTGGTGTAGCCCATGTCATTGATCACCAAAGCAGTGAAGCCCTTGGAGTCTCCAGCCGGACGAGCGGTCTTGAAGCTGAGCACGTCAGACTCGGTGGTACCATTGGCAGCAGGAATCTGATAATAGTAGGTAGTATCAGGCTCAAGACCGGTGATTTCGACGTTGTGGAAAAACTGGCTGCACTGGGTGACTGCCTTGATCATCCAACAAGGAGGCGTCCGGTCATATCTGCGAAAGGTTAGCCTTCGTCTGGTTTACGGTTATTTCATGTCTAGACGTACGTCTTGGAGGAGCCCTTGGCGATGTTGGTCAAGGTATCGGGAGATTTGCCCCAGTGAACAGAAGGAGGCTCTCCCAAGCCGAAGGGAGTCTGAAAGTGAACGTTGATGCCTTTGGGCCAGTACGAAAGAGAAATGACATTGACGTTGTTGGTGGGATTTTGGCTCCTAGGCTTGACCGCCGGTGGCTCAACGAGACGAGGGAAGCCTTTGCCATTCCCGTTTACACTGGGATCGACCCAGTCACCAACAGGCACTTCGGGTCCGGTGTATGGATATGTTTCATCCACATCACGGCCTTCAATGGACGGGGCCGCAATGGCACCGCATGAGAGGATAGCCGCAATAGCGAGACGGTTCATGGTGACAGCGAATGGCGATGCTCGATCAGAGGCTTGCAGACATGCACAATCCCAAGCGAAGAATCCGAAGCCTCGATTATATACTGATCAAGGACACCCACGCACCTATCTTCAAAATAACTCAATTTACGACTTACCAAAGACGAACACCGAGGCACTGGTTCTTATGCGTCGGATCTATCCCCAATCTTGGTATTTCCATGTTGTTAGATTCGATCTGCGGACAAACGGTTGCCGAATATCCGCTATCACCCAAGATCGGCGAAGCGTTTCTCCCACGTGCATTGGAATGTTTGGAACCCCTGTAGCCGTCTGTTCCGGCGCCCGCTAAGTCAGTAACTGGGAACTTTTGTTTGAGCAAATCAAGGAATTGGTATCATTTTGCAAAGAGCAGCAACTCGTAATCAATTAACTTCTATTGGACAGGTACCTGGTGCCCGGATGATTGACCGCCCTCGGACCTTGATGGGGTCGTTGGTAGTTATCCACTCTGAGTGGATGAGATCGGTGGTGTTTGTGAGTGAGTCCCTAAGAGCAAAGAGAGACTTTGTCAGCATTAGCTCAACGTGAACAGTAAAAGGCAGAACACAAGAAACCATTTAAGCCCGCAGTCCTCGGCCCAAAGCATGTCAAGTTGTAAATTTGCAACGTCTATAAAATATCTAGCCGGACGTATCATACAGGCGTGTCGGCGTGGTGTCTCGCAGCAACTTGGAGCTTGGGCGATGTCTTCCCAGACCTCCTCATAAGGTCAATTGATTTCAATTTCCACTGAGAATATCACAAATACGTCCGTCATCCGACTGCCCTCAGGTACAAGAGACAGAAAATGTATACCCTCCTCCCTGTGTGAGCACTTCTATGACTGGGTCGATGGCTGGTGATGCTGACGGTGGATCTTGTCTGACAAAATGAGGTCATCGCGTGGCTTGCTCCAAAGTCTTGTCAAATCAGCGAACGTTGCGAGCTTGACTGCGCCACAATCAACGGGGAGTGACTCTTCGGCGTCTTTCATCACACACATGAGCAGGCTCGAGTAGTATATAACTCCTTGATCGGTTGGAATTAGTTGAAGTTATCGCTTGGTTATTGGATTCAATCACCTCCAATCATGCCCAAAAACAGACCATCCAAAGCCAAACGAGATGCGAAAAAGTATGGTAACCGCCACAAGGAAAGGGAGAAGAGGGAACATGAAGCCGCAAAGCAAGTGGTCGACGACGAATCCCTCGATTTCCCAGCCAAGATCGACCACCTAGCCGAAGCGCGAAGGTGGTTCACCGCCGACACGACGATCATCGACAAATACATGTCAAACGAGTTGTCAACTGCCGAGACCGTCGAAATACTAGCCAAGCCAGTTGATGAAGCATATTCATCGGCAGACTTTGGGCGACAATGGCACAGGCAGGAAATGGTTGCTCGCGGTCAGCGCAAGTATCACGGCCCTGAAAAGGCGCTGGAGATGTGGGGACCTGAAGAGGATTGGCCAGAGCCTGAGACGAAATTCGACGCTTCAGAGAGCACCGAGATGCTCTTGTGGGATCTGTGGTACTCCATCCTACACGCCGCAAAACGCATCCCATACACCAACGATTCCCGACACGAAAAGCTCGTTGAGCTGGTAAGGGCTTTCAAGGCCCGGCCTAATCCTCCTCCACCCGTCCCAATGACGATTCCCCTCAAAAGAGAATGGATCTGGGAGTCTGGAAAACTCTGGACTGACCTGACCGTCTTGGGCATTTCAGTAGCCGAAGTCTCCAACGACTCTCCTGGCTGTGGAGCTGGTTGGTTGTGGCCAGAGCTTCGAGCATGGGAGAATGTCAATGCTTTCCTGGCGAGACTGACAGCGAGTCATCTCATGACCTTTCAAAGTCTCGGCCTTTGGGCTCTAAAGGATGCCACGGAGAGATCTCCCAGCGCAAGGTACAGGCGAACTTGTCCGCCGTCGGATAACGAAATTCTCTCCCACAGAGTGATACTGGCATCGTTGTGGGTGACGATCGCTGGCGAACAGGTTTTCGCCGAGTACCCCAAGATTCGCGACCAGAGGGATATAGAAGTTGTTGATAGAATTCTAGACCTGAGAGATGATAAACTACCTTGGACGCGATCTAGGAAGAAACACAAGGGCCGAGCACGGTGGGAGACAGCCCGGAGGGAGTTTGTGCGTCGACGGCTCGAGGTGGAATCGCACAACGAGGGTTTGCCTTTAGAAGCTCGGGAGATGGCTTCCAAGGCTACAAAAGCGATGATTCCATTTGTCCAGTTTGGAGAAGACTAGTAACATAGATTGCTAGTTTTTATCGGCTATGGATCTCTTTACGTTCACGAGATGATTCCAACACTCAGAGTCATTGCAAGTGAATACGATAAAACATCATATTTTTATTGTCAATCAACGTTCACTGAGGGCAGGTAAATCCTTCAGCTTGTGCACAAATCATAAACCACATTCCATTAAGCGCCTCGTAGTTCCATGTCCTGATTCCATAGTAGATGTCCGTCTTCAAATCAAACCCCCTCAAGATCGCCCAGATTTCTGTATCACACCCCCCTCCAATCCAAAGCTCCTCAGACTTCCACCAGCATGCTGCTGTACCAATCCGTATCCGACCCTGACATTGTTCTTGTCCAACTCGCCTCCAGGTCCCAGTTCGTTGAGACTCGGAGCTCGGGTGGCTTCAATGATGGACGATGGCTTCATATCGCGCATCAACCCTTCTTCACAAGCCGCTTGAAACCCCAGAAGCACCCCAATCAAAGCCAAGACAAAGCTGACAAGATACACCGCCACGAGCTGGAGCATATCATAACGAAAAATAGTACTCGGCCGTGTACGAACACACGGATAGTTTGTATCGGGGCCGCCGCGAGCGTATCCTGAGGGTTTCCCATTGGATGCCCAAGAGACGGCAAGGAAGGCCGGGTTGGACAATAGCGACACTATGATGTCTTCGTACAACTTCTCTATGGCACTTGGAAGATTATCGACAGGAAGGAGGTTGACGTGGGTTATAAGAGATGTCAGCACAATGTCTGTTTCTGCAATTGCATATGGCATCTTGATTTTTCCATCCAGGTAGGACCTCAAACCATGACCGAGTGAATGGAATGCCGCTGTTCGTTTGTAGCTCCTAACATCACGTGGAAACACGTAATTCTCCTCTGGCGTAGCCACGGTGCGATCCCTAAGCCTTTTGTCCAGGTCCCCTTCGCCGGCGAGATATGTGGTGTTTACTACCTTCTTCATGTAGTCGCGACCGATGATTTCTTGAGATTGTTCCCCTCTAATGTATTCGAACTTGACGGTGTAGTTGATCTCATAGTGTTCACAGCCAAAAATGACCGGGGTGTAGGCATCATACCAGTCTGGGTCTTCCCTTGACATGGGTTGCGGGAGTGAGGTATCGTTGACGGTAGCATATCCAATCCAGATTATAGGTTCCGTTCGAAAAGCCCCCAAGTTCTTTGGATATGGTTGACTGAAGCTAGGTCTTCCGCCTGGGCCGCTTGTCGCCAGCTGCTGTTCACCGTATTCACCCATTTTTGTCTGAGCGAGGTAGGTAAAGTTGCCCTCTGGCACGATGTCGCTGGTGTCGAACGGCGCTTCAGATTCTCCAAGTTTCTTCACCTTGGAGCCCACCCCAGACGCGAGCTGCTGGCACTTATAACCTGGGCCAACGAAACTGATGACGTAGGAGCAGTCCCAGTTATCGGAACATATCGCCACACCCGCCTTCTTTCGGGTTGTAGGTTGGCCTTGGCATAAAACCGGAGGAAGAAGCTGCCTCGCGTACTGCATGGAGGGTCGGTTCCAGTAGTCAGTCTCGCCCTTTGTGATATCCAATTGATCCTTTCCTGGCTCTGTGGAGTTCCAGAGTGATACCGATATCCCCATGTGGTCGTTGATCTTGACGGGGAGACGCCAATCGGCGATTGCTTCGTTGTCGAAGTTCAGAGTGCGTACAGATGGACAGGACGCAGACTCCAACCACACGACGGTAGAAAGAGTTTCTGAAGTCAAGATCACGACCAGTGGTGTGAGCCAGCAATAAAGAGCGAGGCAAGTCGATATCTTGGCCCTTTTTATCGCCCGCCAGTCAACCAGCGACATAAACTCGGTGTTGGCTGTAAAGATGGAATCGACTGTGTCAAGTCGAGCAGTCCTCCGGCGCACAACGAGCCAAGCTCTTTGCTGAAATGCCATGGTCACGGCGGTTCCGAAGCTGGTTTTGGCGCAGAAGGCAATAATAGTGCCGTATCGGAACATGAGGGACTGCGCATCGCCTTCCTTGCCGTCGAGATGAAGGTAGAATAAATGGTGACCAACGGCAAAGATAACGCCGATGAGAAGGATTAAAAACATTTTCCAGGGCCTAAGTAAGAAGCCTTCCCAGGAGTTGCAGATGCGGGTGCATGTCTTCTCGTTGGCACTCTCGGGGCGCGGATTGTCTGGGTCAGGTGCGGTTTCCGGCGTCACAGCGCCCAAAATGGGCGAGTTCATGTGACTTTCCAATGGAGACACAGGTCGTGTGCCATCTCCAGCCAAGATCGACTCCTCCTGTTGGGCGTGGGTGTTCATCTGGTCGGGGTACGGGTTTGTAAGGGGGGTCTCCATTTCGCGCTTGATTCCGTAACGGGCAGAGAGATGAGAATGGAGGAAAGAATGTGAGAAAGTCAAGTCCAAGAATTCTCTGCCATGCGGGGTAAAGGCGCTTTTGTGTGGCAAATTGCTTGTTCACAGCCCGACATTTGTTTGATCTGCACATTGCCAAGCCACGGCTGAAGTACGAAACATGGCTGAGCGTTACACGGCTTGGAGTTGTCAGGCCAAGACGTACCTACATAATTCCCGAGAATTGCAGGCAAAAATAGTCGTGATTGGCTGACCTGCAATCTCGGGTCCTGCAGCCACCATAAAGTAGTCTCCTTCAAGGGGCTTAGACAAGTAGGAGAGACGCGTCCCCAGACATGATTGGCAGTAGGAGCTTGCAGACAAGTGGCCATCTGTTATTTAGAGAGCAGGCTGTGCTATCTGTCCAATTGTCAACAAAAAATGTCTTCCTGACCCTTTGGTGAAGAACAGGGCTCCAGTTCTGAACTGTGTGGAACTGATATCGTTTCCTCCCACCCAGCCCAGTGCGTTTGATCCCGCCATGGAAAGGCGTTAGGGCCTTCTTCTGACCCCCGTAACATCTCTTCAATGTCGTGGCATCTAATCAGTATTGCTTTGACTTTCCTTATCCTTGTCCTAACACCGCTACTATAGTCCCCTGCATCTCCCACATACTCGACAACCCAGCAAGCGTTGATTCTAGAAAACTCCGAAACCTGTCTTGGTTTTTCTAGAACTATTTCGCCTGACTCTGTTGACTTCTCTTCCCTCTCGACAACAGTGGAGGCCACGGCAGCCTCGATTTCACCAACCCAAGGACCCTCCCTCCCACTTTTCCGCAACAACGTGATGGCTCTGCGTCGCCAGGTAGGATGCCGGTATTTGAGCGCCGTAAATTGCAACGGTTGAATGATTCCCATCTCTGGAGTGAAGAACGGCAGGCTATTGCTTCCATATGCCGCGTCGCCATCGGTCGCGCAACGGAAAAGCGCCTCGACAGAAGTCACAATTTCCTGGAATTCGGGGGCATAGTCATCGAATGCCGATTCGTGGGGTTCAAGGGCGTTAGCGACATGGACGAAAGCGGCTAGGCATTGCGTTCGGAGAGCGAGCAGCTGTTCATTGCCCAGAGTGATCTCTGTCACTCTGTGACGTGATAGCCATTGCTTCAGATCAGCAAGATGGCGACCTTGCTCGATGAGAAGCCCAGGCGGCAATACTCGACGGCTGACATATCTATATTTTGATGCGGTGGCGATGAAGTGATAACACGGATGTAAGATGCGATAGAGGGCTTGGTCGGGCGAGCATGACAGCAAAGCCGTTGGCGTGGGGATAGGCAAAGGGGGCAAATCGGGTGCGCGGCCAACTGCGAACCATGCGGAATGGAGGTCCAGTTTCCTCAATAGCGACGATATCTTCTCCATGTTCATAATGGCCTTCTCTGTCGGTTTCGGTTCAGTTTTCAGCAATGCAAATGCTCCTTGAAGATGTAGGAGACCCTTGCCAAGCTGTTGTTGCAACGCCTCAGCACAGGAGAGAAAGAGACACGCCACAATGCAAGGAACTATCCCATACCCGAGAGAATCAAGGTCGATCTGTACCAGGTGTAATGCCTTGGCGTAGCTCTCTATAGCCTCAAATGACTGGTTGCCTCTGAGTACGTGTGCATCGTATGACGCGCCAAAGGCTGCTGCTGCTGCTTGCACCGAGGGGATTGATTGCGTCAGCTGGGGGATAGTGTGAGACCAGAATGCTACCTCAAGGTCGTTCTTTGACCTTCGGGGTCCTTGCACTAAGACTCTGCATATGAGATTGACGAAGCGATTCTGTGGGAGGGTTGGGTTGGGCGCAAGGGATGTTGTTGCTGGTGCAGGAGGTGCCCCATGTGGATAGGCACATGGTCGTCTGGATGTTAAGCACCGTCGGCAGGTTGGCTTTAATTCGTCGCATTTGATTCGCCGAGCTCTTAATAGGAGTTGTAAGCGTCATGATGGAGCCTAGACTCGTATAGCAGACTCACTTGCAAGTGAAACACCCGTATTTTGATTGCTTAACGTTGGTCCTGGTCCGCTTGGGCTTGGCCTTATCGGCTGCAGGTGTAAGCATGGTCCACACTGGTCAATGTGCCTAGCAAGGCTGACGACGACATGTAAAGACCGATGTACGAAATACAGGAGGGAAAGACCGAGCATGGCGAGGGATGGCTTCCCAGGAGTATTTAAAAGAACGAGTTCATCATCAACGAGGTGGATCTCGGTTTGATCATTAATCGCGTCCATGCCAAAAGAACTCTAGCGTAAAGTCAAAGACCGAGGAAATACTGGGGCCAGGGAGAATCTGACCAATAGATAAGCTTTATCAAAGACCGAGGATCCCTGGAGATCTGAAGGATTTCGTCGTTTCATGCAGGGGAGCCGCTCCTCCACAGGCAGCTCGGTCTTTGATGCAACTATTTTTGGGGAGGAGACAATTGCAATAAAAAGACAATTTGAGTCGACACGTTAAACGAGACTCGCAGATATTTAGTTATTTATTCGTCATGCCTCTTGTCGTTTTGCTCGCTGATCTAATTCTTCAACTGCCTCCAAGCCGCTCTTCTTGTTTCCCTCATTTTCCTTCTATTCAATCCCTCTCTTCGTTGCACCCATCATCGGCCTCTTAACACCTTGCCTTACGCTAAAACACCCGAATCTCGATCTCAAAATGGCGCCAGAACCACAGTTCTGCACAGACATCACCCCCGAGTGCCTAAAATACACCATCTACGGATACCGTCCGAACCTCGGTGTCAACGCCTTCTTTGTCGCCTTCTTCGCCGTTTGCTTCGCTGCAAACATTTGGTTGGGCATTCGCTACCGCATCAAAGGCTATGCCATTGCACTAGCTCTTGGCTGCTTGGCCATGGTCCTGGGGTATCTCAGTCGTCTAGGCCTATACTTCCGACCCTTCGACTCGATGCCCTTCCAGGCTCAAGTCTGCTGTCTCATCATTTCCCCGGCCTTCAACAGTGCGGCTGTTTATCTCATGCTCAAATACCTTGTCGAATTGTTTGGTCCCGAGTGCTCTATTCTCAAACCAAAGCAGTACACCATCGTCTTCGTTACCGCCGACATCATTTCGCTGGTTTTACAAGCAACTGGCGGTGGCATCGCAGCAACTGCCGGCTCCGACAAGGATATGCTTGAGCTAGGAAACAATATCATGATGGCAGGAATTGCGTTCCAGGTCGTCACGCTATCCATCTTCGCCATATTGTCAGTTCTGTTCCTTGTCAGGCGGATCGCGGCACGCCCTGTAGACCCTCTCTCTGGCACCGCATTGGAGGCATGGCGCAGCATGCGTTTTCGACTTTTCTTGTTCGGCCTTATTACCGCGTTCACAGCTATTTATATCCGTTGCGTCTACCGAATTGCCGAGATGAGAGGTGGCTGGGGTAATGAGCTCATGAAGGATGAAACTGCTTTCATCATTCTGGAAGGATTGTAAGTCCAGCTTGACACGACATTGACAGAATTATATGTCTTTCTAACTGGATATAATAGTATGATGCTCATTGCTACCTTGTCCCAGACCGCCCTTCATCCTGGCCTTCTCTTCCCAGCAATGCTTGGTCCGCAAATGAAGTCGAGTACGAAAGCCTGACCGAACCAAGATTCCAGGCTAACAAATCCCAGAAGACTTGTCAGGAACATGGACCGACATCACCGAGCTACCTATTATCGCTAAATAAGCAACTACGAGACTTGCCATGGGTTGGTTGGTTCTGCAGCGAAATGTTAGGTTGTGACTCTAGGGTGAGCCGGATCGCGACGCTCCTCTGTGCAGAAACGCGACCCGACCACGGGCCTTTTAAGGGACGGAGAGCAAGAATACGAATGGGAGCTGAAAGAAGAGCAATTTTGTGGATAAATGGGTACCAGTACAAGGATTAGTAGAGCTTTTTCATAATGTTGGTCGTTGGGTAGATCAGTTCTGGGTAATACAAGTATTAAATAGCACGTCTCTAATTCATTCCAACCCCGGGGAACCACATCTATTTCCTCCCTTCATCTACGATATTTTGCATCCAGGCAGATCAAAGATACTGCCGAATATTTGCCAAGTTAAAGATGGCACTGACACCATACCGCGCAGTCTCGTTGGTAAAAACCCACGGTGCCTCCTCTCCCTCGTTGAAGAACTCAGGTGGGGACGCCTTGTTGACCTGCCAGTCCTGATTTTCAAGGTATCCATCGATCTTGAAGAATTGGTCCCAAGCAGCTTTGCCCAGCTCTTCGCTCTTTTGCTCAACTGATGCTATCGCTGTCAAGGTGGAGTGACTTTGGCGCCACATTACCGTGGGTTCTGGGAACTCGAAGCCAAACTCTTTGAGCTGAACCTCAGGGGTTCCGTTGTAGGCTCTGCAGTAGCGGAGCCAGACTTCAGTGAAGGCCTTTACTACGGCAGGGTAGTCATCTTTCGCGTAGTCCAAGAGCTCGGTGAAGATCTCGGGGAAGCCGAAAAGCATGGACAAATGTGAAATGGCCCATGCAGGAGTGGGAGGAGGGCATTCCAGGATATCGCCAGTCATGGGATTCAGGAGAATTGCATTGTTTCCAATGCCGTGCGAAAGCTTGGAAAGACCCTCGAGCATCTTCAACAGGAGATCTCTGGACTGCTTCCAACCCTCGGACCGTCTCTCCCAGGTAGTCAACCACGACGCAGCAAGGGGACCACAGTCAAGGCCAATGTTTGCCATGGCAAAACCATCAGGAATGCCTGCGTGTTCTTGCACCTTCCGATGAGAGTCAAGGACAAGAAGAGCATTTTGGCATTGACCTAGCTCTGAGATTAAATCTCCCATGCGTTCGTCGCCAGTCAAGTAGTAGTAAATGCGTCTGTACAAAACATTGGAGATACGGAGCTGCTTAGAGCTATCGCTAAAATGCTGCACGCCGTGACGAGTTCCAAAGCCCTTGAGCTTGCCGGAGTGGTAAACGTCGACCTCGGCAGTGTGTGCGGTCATGACTCGAGCCATCTTGAACACGTCGGCACGACCTGTGTGAAGGAAGTACAACCAGAGCCACAAGTCTGTGGACAACTCCGAGTTGTCCCAGGCGTAGCCACCGACATCGTATCTCCATGCATGGCGGTATGGATCGTATGTGTGTTGGACATCGCCATAGTCTAGGAAGCCGTACCAGCGATGTTGTTCGACTTGTCCTTTGTAGTAGCCGAACAGCAGGTCGAGATTCTTCTCAATATTGGACTCTTTCTCTGAGGGAGCATCACCCAAGATTCGAGAGCCGGGAGACCAGCAGCCATGAAAGACCTTTGTCGAATGCATATATTCTGGTGTCGGGGAAAGACAGGGAGGATCGCGAACGAGGGACGAAAAGAGACTAAAGTCCTCGTTGGATGGTGTGGCCAAGAAGGGTCTGAGGAAGAGTTGGTTCGACCGTGCGATGCCATTTGCAGTAGCAAAGCCTGGCTCGTAGTCCTCGTACGTGACATTGAGTGCATCCAACTGCTTGGGGTACGTGTCCAATCCAAGGCCGTCGTGGTAAGGCATCGTCTCGAGAGGTTCCGCCAATGGAGAGTAAAGCCACATAGTGATTGCTCCCTCATCCTTGGTAAGGTTCGACAGGTCGATCTGGGTGGGGTGCCGTTCCCAGAACTCGTTCAGGCCAACTGCAATTCCACCATGGTTGGCAGACCCGACGTATACAGTTCCATCGGATCGACCACCGCCAGTTGACCTGACCCAGGAGCAGCCCGGTTTCGTTCGTTTCTTGATGGTGAAGCCGTCCGATGAGAGTTGCGAGAGGGAGTATGCATCCCAGGTTGCAACCGAAGCCAGGCCGACAGAGAGATTGGTCTTCTCCCACTCATCCTCTCGAAGCACGACAGGTTTTCCAGATGTCTGGTCAATCCTGTTCTGAGTGGTGGGCCCGAATCTCAAGCCCGAGAGGCCTTGGACTTCCTCCTTCAAGACACCCCCGGCTGCACCACCAAGACGAACATGTCTGTTATAGAATTCGGTGTCTTGGAGAGGGATCTTGAATTGGACACCCAGCGACGTCAAAGGCTCGTCGCCATCGAGATCGTGGATGAAGGAATGGACGATTCGAATTGTAGGCGCGTCCGAGTAAACATAGACTCTAACATCGAAAGGGAGATGTTCTTTACCGTCAGCGACGACATTTCCGGAAACTTTGATAACAGCACGATTGTCGGTCGCGTTTTCGATGACGATGTTCTTGACAGATGTCGCGTATTCTTTCTTGTTGATGGATGCGACAAGGGTTGCGCCCGAGCAAAGAGAGCGACCGCTCAGCGTAAGGCCATTGAACAAAGAGGACCCAGCTGAGAGTGAAAACTCAATTCCCAGCCCAGCTCGGGTAGACACCGAGATAATTCCAGACTCCTCTTTGATGGAAATGCCACCAGTCTGCTCCGCGCTCGTATCGACAGGCTTGACGCGATAGACCCCGTGATGACCGAGGTTACCACTGACGGAGTGAGCCGTCCACTTTAGCGAACCATCTGGCCAGTAAGCAATCTCACGACAGTCGAGCGGGTACGTCTGATCATCTCCCCCAATGGTAAAGGCTTGGCCCGGGCGAAGATACCCCTTGGGCCAGGGCATACCGAAAGAGACACCGCTAGCCGAGCTCCTGTCGGCCTCTAGCCAACGCACACTGGCGGTCGACATTGTCCCGAGTGGCGAGTACAGAACGTGACCAGCAGAAAGAGTCAAAGGGGGTGACAAGGGTCGGAGAAGGGGCCAAGTTTGGGGGAAAGAGAGCACAATGGGGTTGGGGGTATAGCCGCTAATTGTAGGCCTGACAAGCCACACGCACAAGCAGGTGTGATGGGGATGAGAACAGGCCCCTCGTAATTAACTGACTGGACCGTAATAAAGCCAAGCTTGACAATAACCTCGGGGGTTGGGAGAGAAATCAAGTTTAACCTTTCCTGGGGTAAACGCGGGGAAAAGGGCGGGGAAGACGTGGATAATGTCATCCTCTACGAGTCTTGGTATTGGGTAATTCCACCAATCCAGTCTAACACCCCGGCGAATCTTGCCCCGAACTGCGGGTTAAGTGCTAGCATGGGGCGGTATCCATTCGACCGACATGACCGAGCCTGGATTACGGCGCAGCAGTTCACTGACTCAAGGGGCCATATATACCCCCCTCTTCTCCGTGCGGAGTAAACAAGGTCAGACTCGGTGAACTTTCATCTCGAGATCACACTCTTCTTCAAGTTACCACAGACGACCTCGCCAACATGGTTGAACATCAGGAAGACCGCAAGGACCCCGGCACCGTCGATGTCCTCCCCGACCGGGACGAGGAGAAGAACATCGACGGCGATGAGATCCTCAAGGGTGCTGAGCAGGCCAACGAGGCCGAGCACAAGCTTGGCTTCCTCCAGGGTCTCAAGAAATACCCCAAGGCCTGCGCCTTCTCCTTCCTCTTCTCATCTGCCTTGATCATGGAGGGTTTCGACAAGGCCTTCATCACCGCCTTCTTCGCCTTCCCCGCCTTCCAGAAGCGATATGGCGAACTTCAAGACACGGGCGATTACCAGGTGCCTGCCAACCTCCAGGCCGCCATCGGAAACTGCGTCAACGCCGGTCAGATCATTGGTCTTTTGCTCAACGGTCTTCTGGCTGATTGGTTCGGTTACCGAATCGTCATGTTTGGCTGTCTCTTCTTGATGATGTGCTTCATCTTCCTTCAGTTCTTTGCCAGCAGCATCTACATGTACCTCGGCGCTGGTCTCCTCCTCGGTGTCCCATGGGGTGTCTTCCAGACCCTCACCACAACTTATGCCGCCGAGGTGACCCCCAACGTCCTGCGACCTTACCTCACCATGTTGGTGTCCATGTGCTGGAGTATCGGCTACCTCATCGGCACCGGAACCCTCCGAGGCTTCCTCTCCATGGAGGGTCAGTGGGCTTATAGAATCCCCTTTGCCATGCAGTGGATTCTTCCCATCCCTCTGGCGATCGGCATCTACTTTGCGCCCGAATCTCCATGGTGGCTCGTTCGAAAGGGCCGACACGATGATGCTGAAAAGTCCCTGCGAAGGCTTCAATCCAAGGACGGCACCGAGGAGGAAATTGCCAACTCCATGTCCCTGATCAAGTACACCATCCAGATTGAGAACGAGCACCGAAGCTCCAGCACATACAAGGATCTCTTCCGCAAGAAGAACCTCCGACGCACAGAGATCACGGTTTTCACATACGTCGTCCAGGAACTCTGCGTCCCGCTTGTCTCGTATGTCGTCTACTTCCTGCAGCAAGCTGGTGTTCCCACCTCTGCCTCGTTCAACTTCGGTATTGGACAGTACGCCATGGCCATCGTCGGTGTCATGATTGCCTTCTTGGTCACTCCCAAGGTTGGCCGAAGGACCCTGATTCTCTGTGGAACAACCTTCATGGCCTCGACGTCCATCCTCATCGGTTTCCTGGGTATTCCAGACACGCTTAAGCATACCAGGTTTGCCTACGCCATTGGCAGTATCCTCCTAATCGAGTACTTTGTCTTCTTCATCACCTGCGGTCCCGTCATCTACACCGTCGTCACCGAGATTCCCTCTAGCTACCTTCGAATCAAGAGTGTCGCCATCGCCCGAGCCGCCTACAACGTCAACGTGCTCATCTATGGCCAGCTAGTTCCCCGCATGGTCCAACGTGCCGCCTGGAACTGGGGAGCCAAGTCTGGTTTTTTCTACGGTGGAATCATGTGCATTGGTCTTACCTGGGTCTTCTTCCGTCTTCCCGAGACCAAGGACCGCACTTTTGCTGAGATTGATATTCTGTTTGAGCAAAAGGTCTCCGCCAGGGACTTCCGAAAGGCCAAGGTCGACTTGACGACCAAGACTGTGACTATCGACGAGACAAAGTAAACGATGGATTTGGACATGAATACTTGATAATCTACTTCTTATGGTCTGAGTTGTGTCACCATAGCTATTGGGCAGTGGCGATAGTAACTCGGCCTTGGAACTCTACATAGCAATCTATAATGTTGCCTACACTACAACGTTCAATGCTGCGCAGTGATAAGCTTTACAGCGAAATTCGCAATATGATGCTTGAGAATGAATCTGTTATCAATGATGTCACTCTAATTCTACCGGACATACTGTCGATTAAGCTCATAGCTTCCCCATTCTTGGTTCCACCTTGTAGCCTGCTGCAGCCCTTCCAAGTTAGGCACCATTGCCGTTATACAGCAGCAGATTCGGGACCTCCCGTCGATCCGAGATAAGGTCCTTAGTCGCTAGTGCCAAAATCCTCGCCTTGATCTGTGCAGGGGTTCGTGGGCCCTCCAGTGCCAGAAGATACGCCACCACTCCAGCAACATGTGGTGCTGCCTGAGACGTGCCAGAAGTAGTATAGGTTGAGGTAGACGAAGTGTACCAAGCAGAGGTGATACTCTCTCCAGGTGCAAACAGATCCACTACAGAGCCCCAGTTGGAGGCTCTCCATCGCTGATAGTTACTGTTACTTGCAGCGACCGTGATGGCGGCAGGGAGGTTGGCAGGTGACCAGTCAGCTGAGTCGACGTTGGAGTTGCCTGCAGCCGCGATGACTGGGATGCCGTTATCGATGGCTGCCTGGACGGCGTTGTTGACGACAGTAGAGCTTCCAGTGAGAAGAGACATGTTGATGACCGCCTTTCCGACACGGTTCTTGGAAATGACGTCGCGAACGGTCCAATCTAGGCCGTCCAAGATCCATGCACCAGAGCCAGAAGATGAGCCAGTAACTTGAACCCCAATGATTGAAGTCTTCTTCGCGACTCCGTAGGTAACTCCACCAATAATACCAGCGACGTGAGTACCATGGCCGTGGTCAGTCGCCGCTCCGTTTGTCGCATCATAGGCAAGGGCAGCTCTTCCCTCAAACTCCCTGTGACTGGCCAGAAGCCCGGAATCTAGAACGTAGGAGAACGTTCCGGCACCGGCGCTGGAGTCGTACCTGTAATTGGAGGAGGAAGAGGGTGGGTTGGCGTGCGAGATGGCAGACAGGCCCCAGGGAGGATTCTCCTGCGTGATTGGCGACGCCAAGAAGACCTCTGGGTTCTTCTCCACAGCGGTAACCTATATACCATATTTAGTATCCCTGTGTTAAAATTTCCATCTCTGAAAGGCTACTTACATTGGGGTTATGCTTAATAGCATCCAGCGTATCCTCGTCAAAAGACCCGACATACGCCGAGAAGCCAGGAAACTGGAAGGTCTTCTCAAGCCCAGCCGGAGCATCGTCACGCTTCTGCACGTTCTTGGCGTGTAGGTCCGAGACCCACCGAGCATGAAGCTTCAAGTCGGCATCGGAGGATACCTCGGGTTTCAATGCCACGATCCATTGTTCCACAGCCGGGGCGGTGGATCCCTGAGAAGCAGGAAGGGCAATGGCTAGCCCGATGGCTTGAAAGACGAGGGCCAAAAATGCAAGACGAGCCATTCTTGAAGAGTTTGGGTGTTGCGCGTGTGATGACCACCGATAATGGGCGGACATGCGGTCAATAAATAGTCCCATTGCCAAGTAAACTATCCAAGTAGCCCACCCATCGTATCCAAAGCAGGAAGGTGTTTAAATATGCCTGCCAAAAGCTCTATCTCGTCAGTTTACATGGGGGTTCAGTCGTATTCCGGATGGAGATGCGACAAGGGTGCCGAAACAGCCTTCCCGAGTCGGTAGACTGCTCCGATAACGTCAAGACGGACTCTTATCTCACTATTTTAAGCTTTAAACTTTGTAGATCATGCCGGGAGATATAATAGTGTGATAAGATGACGCTTTGGCGCGTTCGCATAAACGTGACGATATTTGCTAATGCGAAAACGAGGTTGTTGATCGCCGCCTATAATGTCAACCCATTTGCTTGCTGCACCTTGATCTTCTTCACTTTTTTCTGTTCAACACTCTTTTCCCTCGTGATTGCGTTATAGATCTTTGTTCCGTAATTCTTGAAGGCCTTTATAATGCCTCCACGTCTTGTAAGCGTGATTTATCAGTCAACTGAAACTGAAACTGCTCGCCACCAATGGTCATTTCATTGAGCTTGAGATCAACGTTAATGGCCCTTCCAGTCTGTGGCTTCTTTAAAAAAAAAAGAGCGTCCACCATTGTGCGGCCCCACAGTCCCAATGAGAACTAGGTAATTATGATTGTAGATGAAAACGAATGACTTGACAATGATAAACCGAATTCGGATTCCCATCGTGACTAACTTGGTGTAGGAGCGTCTACTATTATTGAAGAAGTCACACAAGGTCTTAGATAACAACAAGTTCAGCTCGAAGGTTAGAGTTAAATCATCGTTGTTTCATCTCTACGTTACATGACAGTGTTGCCAGGATCAATCTATTCATAAAAACTACGATATGAGATGTAGGACTCCATTGTGCAGACTGTTCCCTCTCCTCTTCTGTCACCCTCATGACCTCGGCGAATCTGAATTCAGGTTTAAGTGATAAGGCAAATAAGGCGCACATGGGGCAAACCCGTGGCTATCGATAGGATAAGCGGCGTTTTGCAGGTTGACATCAAGGAGGAAGGAAGCGTAACCTGTGCTTGACTGCAACCTTGCCCAACCCTGTGCTCCGGCGATTCAGCCTGGAGGCTTTTGCAGACATAGTCAGTACTTCAACCTTCGCTACCAATACTGGCCTGAGCGGCCAACAAGGGCGCTCTGGTCTCCAACCACAGAAGCGCTCGGTGGCACTGCTAGCATAGTCGCCATCTTTGACTTGTCAGAGGGGATCGCTTCACTCAGCTGTACGGAGATGTTGAGCACAGGCAAAACGACGGTGGATGAGTGTGGTAAGACCAAGCTCTCGCTGTTCCGTCCCTACAGGGAAGCCCAAAAAAAAGTTCGCGAAAAGAAAGGGCAAATGTCCAAAATGCAAGACTAGAGGAAGGAGATGGCATCGTCGTTCCATGGAGGTGACTCGGTGCATGCAGCCTATCAATCACGACCGCCAAAGGAGTGATCTTGTCCTAAGATTAGGGGTTACTAATAGCATATTTCATAAGTAGAGAGAGGCATTATTGCATATCAAGATATATCTTCTACCTATCCCTAGTGCTTCCTTTTCAATGCTAAGCTAGCCGATGTTACAAACTGCTGTCCGTAGTAGAACAGATCTGGGTAATGCACCGGGAAGCTAGACTGCAAGACAACAGTCATGTTCATTTTAGGGATGACATATATGGCCTGGTCATATGTGCCCAGGGCGGCAAAGCCATCGTCATCGCCAATCTGATACTTCTTCCCTCCGCGTGGCATTGTCCACCAGCCAGTCTGATATCCCGAGGCCGGAACCACTGCAATAGCGCCAGGGGCACGTACGCCGGTGCTTGTGCTACCGACAGCAATGGCGTTAAACCAGCCTCGTGGAACTTTAGGACCACCTACACCATTGAGGTTGTCCAGGACGAAGAGACCAAACCGAGCCATGTCTTGAAGCGTAATAGCGAGGCCTCCATGACCATCGACCTGATGTGCAGCAGTAGTTCGCATATACCCATCGTACTTCATCCCTGCTGGGTCCCAGATGTACCTGGTGACCATGTCCTCTATGGGTTCCCCGAGAGCTCGCTGAAGAGCGAAAGACAAGACGTAGTAATTTATGTCCGCATATAGGAACACCTTGCCTGGGTTCGCGACCTTGGTGAAATTCTTGGTGTAGTCGAGTACGGCGTCCACGTTTGTGCGATAGTAGACGTCGGCGAAGAGGTCCGGAGCGTCAGGCCCAGTAGGCTCGGCCAGCCCGGACGTCATGTCAGAAAGGGCTTCGAGGGATACAGCACCGAACGGGAATCCGGCAAGTTCTGGGATGTATTTCGACGCCCGGTCTTGCATCTTGACCTTGCCCTGCTTGACCGCTACTCCCAAGATCATGCTCAGGAAGGACTTGGTAACAGATTGGACAACATTTTTAAAAGACGGAGCATTGCCGTACTGGTATCTTTCCAGCCGTATAGCGCCGTCTTTGACAATCATGACACCGGAAATACCAAAGTGATACATGAAGGAGTCGATTCCATGCTCGGTGCCATTGGCCTTGGTAGTGAAATCGATTTCTCGGCCGATGCTCATTTTCCGCTGGCCTGAGCCATGACGAACCTGAGTTGTGCGATTTGGCAATCGCTCGGCCTCCTGGCGGGTGAGGAAGGCAGAATAGCGCGGGTCAGAGCTATTCAAACTGGAGATGTTGAAAGTTCCAATCGTTTCGGGGTTGACGTAAGGGTTCACTGTCACCTCGGCCGCATAGGTCTTAGGCAGCTGAATGCCAGCAGAGAAAAGAAGGTAAAGCAAATGGGTAGTTCTCATCTTGAGGAACCTCTGAACTTGGGGAGCTTGAGATGATGATGCCTTTGCATTTCGAGTTGGAAGGGACGGATGGGACCCTTCTTCTTAAAGGCTGATGAGTGTTGAAGAGTGTGAGAGTTCCTGGAGTTTGTGCTATTATCACATGCCTGGCATCGACATCCATTGACATGCCATGGAAATTTGAGCCATGAAGGGGTCTTGCTGACGATAAGGAATCTGGGGTTAAAATGGGGTTAAAATGGGGTTAAAATGGGGAACCATGGGGTGGCTATGGAGGCAGAATGACGCCGCTTATCCGATCTATTGGAACTGCATAAAGCACACTATACTGTAACAGGCCCCAGTTCATTTGCTAGTACCGGTAGATAGGCCCTGCTGTCTAATTCGGGCCGATCTCTTAGGCCTAGCACTTGATCCTTCATGGGGCCGCGCAACATAGAGATAAGATCCTTCCTATCATGGGTTAACTAATGTCTCCACGAAGGTCTCGATCACCTAGAAGATGAGACGCATGGAAGGTTGGAGACAAAATCTTTTACCCTTTTCAAGGCACTAAACCCCATGAAGTTCGAGTGCCGTTCCCTTCTATCACGGCGCTGCGGGGGCAGTGCTATCTCTCAGAGTGTGGACAGGGTCGTGGAGCCCATTATGTACGTTAAGAAGCACATATATCCAGGACCAAATATCACTCCAACATAAGTATCTCTTACTAGCTACTTTTTCCTATCTGATCCTTACTCTCAGAGATAAGATGAGCTCGGCTCTTGCTCCGTATCAAGTCGGATAAGTGCCGGTCGAGATGGTTCGACCAGTGAAGCTCGGACATGATCGTAATTTCTGTTCATGGGGAAGGTTTGTGACTTGAGGGGGCGAAACAAGTGCGTATTCTGTCTCGGAGAGTAATAACCCCGAGGCGCGTATTACCTATATCTAGGCCCGTCTTGGCTTGGATTTTACTCAATGGAACCATCGTAGAATACCCTCAAGCCACGAATCACACAATGGATCATGCCGGCGCTCGCGAGGAAATGGGGAATCACCTCCAACCTCAGAACACGGCCTCTACAACGCACATTCCTCGCATTTTCTCAACGCTATCCGCTCTTGCCATGGCTTTCTCCATCACCAACACTTGGATTGGCTACTCGGCTACGTTTGTCCCGCCGCTGTTGGCTGGTGGCGGACCGGCTGTGGTCTTTGCCCTCGTTCTGGCCTGTTTTGCATGCACTGTCATCGCTCTTGGCTTGGCCGAGTTGGCATCTGCTTTTCCGTCTAGCGGAGGTCAATACCAGTGAGAACACCTGCCCCTCTTTGTGCCGGGATGGTGGACTAATCCTATCAAACAGCTATGTTGCCATGCTCTCGACCGAACGGTACCGTGATCCCTTGGCTTTTGGTGTAGGATGGATCAGCGTGTTAGGTGCGTCTGTCCGAACGATTCAAGTCTGAATTAAGAATAGCCAACTAACATGCTCAAGGCTGGCTTTTCACGACGGCTAGCACCACAGTCTTCTGCTCCCAAACGTCCCTCATTCTCGCCTCTCTCTATCACCCAGACTTCGTGTGGAAGCCATGGCAAGTCTGGCTGATCTACGTCCTCATCACCGTCATCTCTTGTCTTATAATCGTTCTACTCCCACGCTGGATCCCCACAGCTGAACGCGTCTTCCTCTTCTCATCGCTCCTCGGTCTTTTGGTAGCATTCATCACGATCCTAGCTTCAAGCGAACACAAACAGCCAGCGGCAATTGTCTTCACTGAGTGGGTCAATGTCACAGGATGGCCAGACGGACTGGCTTTCCTCCTGGCGACAGGTCAGGCCATGTACGGCTTTCTTGGTCTGGACGGTGCAACGCATATCTCTGAGGAGCTACCGAACCCCGAGCGGACTGTTCCGCGAGTTATTGTGATGATCATGATTATTGGGACAATAACGAGCATTCCCTGGACGATCGCTATGCTCTTCAGCACAACAGATCTCGACGCCGTGGCTTCAGCATCTGTTCCCGTCTACGAGGTCTTTCTACAAGCGATCAACTCCAACGCAGCGGCAACCTTTTTCACGGTTTGGATCTGCTTCATATACTACGGAGCTATGGTCAGCTGCTTTGTCACTTCTGGTCGTCTCATCTGGGCCTTTGCTCGCGACGGTGGCCTCCCCTACTCACATTGCTTTGCCAAGATCCACCGCACTCTGCATGCCCCTGTCAACGCCACGATCCTAGCCGGGGTCTTCATGATCGTATTCGGTCTCCTCTATGTCGCATCTTCAGCGGCGTACAATAGCATTGTCGGCTTAGCTATCATGTCGACGAATCTTACCTGTGCCATTCCCCAAACCATCCTGCTCTTCCGCGGTCGACGTGTCCTGCCGAAACGTTACTTCAATCTAGGACGGGTAGGAGGTCTATTTTGCAACATCTTCTCTACTTTTTATGCAGGGTTATACGTTGTCTTGTTTTGTTTCCCTTTGGCCGTTCCTGTTACCGCAGCTTCGATGAACTATCAAGCCGCTGTGCTCATTGGCGCGCTGGTTTTCGTCACGATTCTTTGGTATGGCTGGAAGCGGCACACCTTCCACGGGCCAAGTCTTGACGGCGAAGGGGTGGTTCTGGACGCATGCGATGTAAATAATAAAAAGCACGCTCATGAGGGCGAATAGTTGGGCGGGTGTATCTTGGTCACCCAGGCCTAAGAGGAGCCCCCCTTCTTTTCCCATCAGTGCTTGACAAGCATTATCTGATTATTCAAGTTCAATACCAATGTAGAAAAACCTCATTCCATTGCCTGGCCAATTTTGCCTCTCGGCTCTCAGTCCTTCTTCCCCGCAAACGAGCCCCCTTCATAGCACCGCTCCCGCGTATAAAGCTGAGGAAGCCCCGCTACGAATATTCCGAAATTTCCGAAGACTTCCCCCTTTCATCTCAACCCCGCCATGTCTCTGCTCGACCGCGTCTCAAGCACTGATGAGCTAGAGGACCCGAAAATCCCGGATTCTGGTCTTACTGTGCGGACCTACAAGTCTTGTGCGGGATGCCGGGCACGCAAAGTCCGTTGCATCGTCGAGGATAGAGCAGTCGGAGCGAGCTGTGTTCAATGTCTGAAGTATGACCTCAGTCGGTTGCTGCTTTGCCCCTGCTCATAGTCAATGCTAGAGATGGCCATGAATGCGTATTTGAAGCCAAGAAGCGATCCTACGATACGAGCACTCGAACGAGGAAGGCTCGGGAGAAGCGAGCTCGGCTAGAAGCACCAACACCAGACACGACGACCGAGAATCCGGTTTGTGCAACCCCACCCTCTGCTTTGATCTCATCTGTCCATCTGAGATGCTGAATATTCAAGGCACACGAGCATTTTGATGTTCGAAGTTCGGCTGATGCACTCCTTTTCTTGTCCGACGCGGCCGCAAGACACGGCAGCGAGGTTGAACCATCAAGTGGCCATGTCGAACCCGTCCAACACCCAGTCCTCTCAGCCGCTTCAGACAATAGACGTGAGAGCGGGATTTCAGGGTTGGCAGACGTTGAGGAAGAGCAGGTCAGGCTTGAATCACCAGTCTCGCCATGCGAGAATGTCGACACACAGGAGATAATAGCGACCTTCCGCTGCCGCCTCTTCTGGGAGAACGTTGTTACGCCCAGCGAAGCCTTGGCTTATGTCTGCTTCTTCTTCAGAGATCTCTATCCTTTCTTTCCCTTCGTACCAGATGCCTACTATACATGCCTTAGTGCGCCTAACCCTGATTTACAAATATTGCGCTGTCTGTTCGAGGAGGAGGACATCCTGTTGGGATGCCTTATCACAGTTTCTAGCCGCTACTACCACCTCCCAAGGCATACCATCGGCGGGTACGAGAGAAGCTGTGAGACCCATAATAGTTGTTGGCTATGGACAAAACGCCAGTTGGCCAGAGTGGTGTTCGAAGGCGCCAGGTCAAAGTCGCCTCTATCGGTTGTTGAGACTCTGTTGATGCTTGCTGAGTGGCTCCCCAAGCCCATACACGCCTTTGTTGAAAACAACACCCCTGGCAGTGGAGTATCGTCCACCCAACGAGCTGGCGAGCTGCTCCTCCAACCTGCTTTTCGAACGGACCGGGTTTCTTGGTTAGTCCTGAGCTTCACGCAATGTCGTGCGTGTTAACCAACATTACTCATACTTAGGTCATACGTCGGGAATGCCTTTCTCCTGCTGCGATCTCTACCCCCCAGTCGTAGGATCTGCCCAATCCTCCAGACCTCGAGCCGATACCTGACCACTCTATTCGGATGCCTCATCATGTCTCAGTCGCTTGCTCGCCGTTTAGGTCGACCCGCTTTGATGAATTTTGAGGATGTAGATCTCACTCAGATCAGCCAGGCTTTCCACGACCGCAACATCAGGCTTCATGGGTCGCAAGACAATAACGAGGCCATACCCAACCTGAGTTTTGGTATCTCGGATCATTTCCATGGCGCCTTTGTTGAACTGATGAAGCTTTTGGCCCATAGCCAGGATGTCCTGCACCCACCTACGGAGGATGGCATTGTTGAACCCAAAACCGGTACGCCCCAGACGAACCAACGCTTATTAGCGCTTTTGCAACACTTCGACATGATGAACCAAAACTGGAAGACGCAGTATGAAGGTCTATGGGAGAGTAAGAAGCCTTGTATCCCATATCCCTCTTCACGCGAGCTCACTGGTCCCAGTCAACGCTCCTGGCATGTCCAAGTTTTCGAGGACCATGTTGAGGATCGATTTTGAGTACCTTCGGCTCTACGAGTTTTCTATCAGTCTAGGCACGTATCTCAAACTGGCAAAAATAGGAAAGGACATGGCATCGCTTTCTGGCCGAAGCTCCGTTGAGCAACAAGAAAACGACTGGGAATTCCCGCCAACTTCACTTGCCGACTACATAGAGCAAGCTATCGATGCGGCAGAGATTCTCCTTCGTTTAATGCTGCATTTCCACTCGCCTACAGGCAAGAACACGTTAAGATATGCTAGTTCGAGGCACTATATGAAAATTGTGTTTGCTTCTGTCTTCTTGATTCAGGTAAGACACTGCCTTGAAAAAAGGACGCTCAGAATAACACAGGCCAGGCCTTACGATCTGGTATTCCCAGTATATCCTATCAAACCGTTTTGATTGCCACACTCAAGGATACTGTAACAATTCTCGAGAGGTGCAGCATAGATGCCGCGCACCCAGCTCTCCGATACTCTATTCTACTTAGGGGTCTCATGAAAGATCTGGTGCCATCACAACCACCTGAAGCATCTTCTTTGATACCTCTTACGATTGGGCCGAGGCAGTCCCAGAGCACAACACGAGATGAACAGAATTTGAGCTGTCCCTACCTGTTTAGCAATGAAGTGAATCCTGCCTCAACCCAAACGTACGATCCCTACTCTCCACCCTCGAGCCTTACTAACTAAATCTCCAGCCGCCTTCAGGCAGATTTCGCCGATAGCGTGCCTCTATCGAGTGCAGGAGTTTCCCAATGGCCATCTTCGACGGGGTACGCGGAAGGCATCCAGTGGAGTGGATTCGACAGTTCGATTATCGAGTGGGAGGACTCTATGGCGCAGTTGGATACCGACACCTTCCTGCAGTCGCTCATGGGAGTTGATATCTTTCCCAGTATGTAGCTTTGCCAACGCAGTGAGGGTAGCTCTTGAGATGGATAAATTCAACAAATACCAACCATATCTATTCTCACAAACCCGTTTGTATTAGGCTAAGAATTTCGCATTACCTCCAAACCAGGAAGCTTGGCCTCCCGGCCAAAGCTAGTACAGGCTTTACGGCATCCGAGTTCATGATACTCAGCCAGCAACAGAAGAAGGACAACGGTGAGAGCTACCATCCAAGTATTCCAAATCTCATTTCAATTACTACAGCATCTCTTTCATCTAGTCTATGCTCCATTGGCACCATTATTACCTGCCTCCAAGCTAACCTTTCCAGCCTTTGCCCGTGTATTGACAATCGCAATTTGGTTCCGCAGTCGCCAAGGGATATCCATCACGTCCATATGCACCTCAAGGAGCTGAATATTCTTAGGAGATTGATACTCCGGCAGCAGAAATACCCTGTCCAGCTCCTCCTTTGTGTGGACCTCTCGGCTTGACTCCTTGGCGTTGGCGGCGCCAAAGAAGGTCAGCAGAGATTGGTGGCGCCAAGATGCGATGTCGTTGTAGCCAGCCTGAGGACCATGGATGGCTCTTTCGATCGTGTAGCCCTTGTTATTAATGACGATGCTGACCGCTTGTTAGCTTTATCCACTACAGGGTCCAATAATACACTCACAGTAGAGGGTTAAGCTCCAGTCGGATCATTGTCCCGACCTCCTGCACAGTCAGCTGCAAGCTACCATCTCCAACGACAAGAATAGTGCGTCCATCTTTCACGCCAGTCTCGGCTTGCAACTCTCTCTGGGCGATCGCAACACCCAAACAGGACCCAACCGAGTACCCAATGCTGCCGTAATAGACCTGTGTCACATACTTGGCACCAGCTGGAAACGTGGCATCGGGGAATCCGAACTGGGCTGTGCCAGACTCTGCGATGAGAATATCTCCCGGTCGCGTAAGCTCACCAAGTCGCTTCCAGATCCAAGATTGAACAATTTTCTTGGAATCTGCGTCTTCTGGCACTGGTTGGCTCGGCAGTACTGGTAGTGCTGGGGAAGGCAGCCTGACCGTTTCCAGGGCGCTCAATAGCTTCTGGAGAACTGTGATCTAGGTATAAGAATTTTGACAGAATAGAGTGAGGTCTGGATATGGCTTACATGGCTTCAGGTAGACTTGTTTGTAAGTGGCTCCAAAGACCTACAAGTGTAAGTGTCCCATCCATCTGTCATGAATAACATTTACCCACTGTACAACTATCAGGCTCCACAAGAATCACCTGTTCAGGCCGAATCTCTCTTGTGTGCCCACCAGTGTTACTGTCAGCGAGAAGAGGACCGAGATTCAGGATGCATTCGCTTCTCTCCACAGCAGCCTTGACACCGGGGTAAGACACTTCGCCATTGTATACACCGCAGTATCGTGGGTGAGTCTCCTCGATGATCGTCTTTCCCATAGAGGTCGAGAAAATGGGAAAGTCGAGGCGATCAGCTAGTTTTCTAGCTTCTTGTGCAGCCCCATGGCGATCTGTAAGACAATCGACCAGCAATAGGGGGTTCTTTGCCATCTGCAAGGCTTTGATGACAGTTGACAGCACCTCTGTTTCGTTGGCGACGTCAATGGGGTGATTGGGTTCGATATGTGATCGAAGAGGTGAAGCATCGATGGGTACATGGACGAAATCCATAGGAACAAAAAGGTAGACTGGGAGTGAACGCAGTAGGCATTCTCCAATGACTCTCTGCCGTTATTATCAGTCCTGGTCGTCGAGTTACGCTCTCAAGCCCAACTCACATCGATCTCGGCGCCAGCTGTTGCTGCATCTTCCAACCATGCATGAGCACATCGAACGTGGGCCGAGATCTTCTCAAAGGCCTGCCCCAGTCGTCAGTAGAGGCTCGTTCTAGCCAACTCAGACGCTCACCTTGTGATCTGGGTTTGGCCCCAGGCTGTGGTGGATCATGAGATGCTTGGCCTGGACATGGGTCGGAGTTGTGCCCACGATGTGGATGAGCTTGACCTGCTCCGTATATGCGCCGGCAACGCCGTTGAGGGCACTAAGCTCTCCGACTCCCATTGTAGTCACGACTAGATACATGAGCTGAGGCGACCAGACAGGGTCTACGGAATGCTTACCAACACCAGGGCAGCCTTTAACTCTAGCATACCCATCAGCGGCATATGCAGCGTTCAACTCGTTGGCATTTCCCACTAGAAGTCTCGATCAGCGGTTCATAGTCACCATTAATCAGAGATCCACATACCCCACGATAGGCCATTAACTTGGTCGATGTAGTCGAGTAGCTCCAGGTTCATGTCACCTGGGACACCCATAACACTCCCCACACCCAACTGTCGAATTCTATGGTCATATCAGCTTGGTTCTTGTGGGAAGCATGAAGTGTTTAGTCATACCGTGTCCATGGGTATTGGACGAGGGGGATCTGGGATTCAGTGGCCGCAGGCATCTTGTGGAAACTATACGTCGACGAAAAGGGTTAATTGACAGCAGATTAGACTACGATCAGAAAGAAGAACGTCTTATATCAGATCTGAATGAATGACCAGTATGAGTAGTATAACTTCCGAAGATGAGATCTTGTATCCGTGGGGGTTGTAATCATTGTCAGTCCGGATATACACGGATATTTCGGTTGTAGCTGAAATTACCGAAAACACCGGGAGCGCGTTCGGTGTAAACCGAAATTTCCGAACTTTCCTCCCAATAAAGACATAGTGAAAGATATATCTAGGCCACCTCATTCCGAAATTCCGATGGCATTCAATCAGAGAGCTATACTTGCGTCTTGACCCAGCAGACTTGGCCGTTGTCAGAGTCTCTATCAGCTCCTCACGATCTACACCTCAACGCCCAATTTCTTTCACACATACTTTCCAAACAATATCACAGAATCAATTCACAATGTCTCCCGCTCAGGTTACCAAGAACAGCCGCCTCAATGGCTCGGAGTACCCATATCCTCTTGAACGGGGAGCCCAACGAAACGAAGCAGCAACTCGTCTTCGAAAGATGATGGTTGAAGCCCACATCGATCCAACCAAGATAGTTCAACACCCCATTGCCTGGGATGGCTTGACTGCCCGTCTTGTCGAGGAAGCTGGATTCCCCATGGTCTTTCTTGGTGGCTACGCCGTGAGTGCTTCTCATGGTCTGGCTGATGCTGGCTATCTTGGCTTTGCCGAGATGGTACACCGCACTCTTGAGGTGTGCAGAGTTGTTGACGTTCCTGTCATGGTTGACGGAGATACTGGGTACGGTAATGAGGTCAACGTCAGAAGGACTGTGCAAGGCTATGCAAAAGCTGGTGCTGCAGGCATCATGATTGAAGACCAAGTGAGCCCAAAGCGTATGATTCTCACTTCTGCATCGTACCAAATTATCGAGTTTCGCTAACTATCAAAAGGTTGTGGCCACACGAAGGACAAGAAGGTCGTCAGCTTTGACGATGCCGTATCCAGAATTGGCGCTGCAGTGGCCGCTCGTAATGAAGGTGTTGACATTTTCATCTTGGCCAGAACAGATGCCCATATCATTTCTTACGAAGAAGCCATCCGGCGAGTCAAGGCATTCTTCGATCAAGGTGCCGATGCTGTTGCAATCGAAGCTATTACGTCAGCCGATGAGATGCAGCGCTCTCGAAAAGACCTGGGACCGGACATCCCGTCCTTCATCAACATTATTGAAGGTGGAAAGACTCCTTCCATGTCCTACGATGATCTCGCATCAATGGGCTACTGCAGTGTCGCGTATCCTTTGACGCTGTTGGCTGCTGGTATCAAGGCCATGAGGGGGGCACTCCAGGGGCTGTTGAGGAAGACCGAGTCGCCGGACACCATCATGCGGTTTGAGGACGTGTGCTCTGCGGTGGGCTTCCAGGAGTACTGGGATTTGGCGGAAAAGCTCACCAAGGTTCAGTAGCTAGCTAGCCCGGCATGATTGCGTGCCTATTATTGTAGTCCCTAGTTCGTCAATTAAATTTCTATCACCAATCTCAGCTCCTCTGGGTTTTTCTTTCTCCGATTACGCGACTTTTCTAAAAATCAGTTGAGTTATTGGAAGTGCTTTCCTACACGGAGTGCATCTGTTGCAATGTATCATCAGGACAATAATATGGTGCCGTTCACCTCATTCTCAATAAGCAAAGCCATTTTCGCTCACCCCTTTCTCCATCTCCAGACATAACTCAATGAAATCGGGTTGTAGCCGGAAATCTGGAGGATTACCTCGGTTCGTGAGAAACATGCTCAACAGGTCTCAAACATTTGTCCTGGGCAGCGAATTTCCCGAAAATGCCGGTGGCTCCAACGGACCCAGCCACTCTCCCTAGCCTTTACCGAATTCTCCACGATCTACACACCCGAACCCTCTCGACTAGGTTTAGATCCGGGGTATCGTACGGGGTAGAATCTGGGGAAGAGCCCAGGCTTCGGTTTGAAGGAGATTCCAAATCTCTCCAGGAGATACATGGCTGTCCTCCGGGGCATGATAAAAAGAGCTTCACGTCTCGCTGTTTCTCTTCATCTGCATTCACGGCTCCATTCAACTTGATCTGTTCTTGGCACCTCATACCAAAAATGGCTGACACCGAACTCAAGATGGCCGTCTCACACAGCGAGAGGAGAGACTCCAAGGGCGCTGGAGACACTGCGATCCTCGTGCCAGAGAAGCTATCAACACATATCAGGCGAAAGGTACGCAGGCTGGTCATGTTGAGGAGATTTTGTGCTAACCAACATCTCAGTTCGATCGACACGTCATGCCTCTCGTCTGCGTCCTCTACGTCCTATCCTACCTCGATCGCGGAAACATTGGCAATGCCAAAACAGCCGGAGCCCAAGACGATTTGGGGCTCAGTGACTCCCAGGTACAGGAGAAAGCGGAGACTTCCATGGCTTAATAGAGTCGCTGACCTTTTTAGTGGGCTTGGGTTCTGAACTCATTCTACATCTGCTACACACTCTTTGAGTGGACGACTCTGCTGTGGAAGCTTCTCCCAGCTCATCTCTACATCTCGACTCTATGCCTTCTGTGAGTCTTTGGCTTCGTTCTTCAATGCATGAGCCAATTGTGATCAGCTGGGGAGTCGTTGCCACTTGTACCGGTACCGTCAAGAACATGGCCGGTCTCTGCGCCTGCAGGGCTGCATTGGGTATCCTCGAAGCCGCCTTTGGCGCGGGCGCCCCATACTTTCTCTCACTCTTCTATCAGCGTCGAGAATTAGGACTTCGTGTCTCCATCCTTATCGGAATGTCGCCTCTGGCAAACTGCTTTGCAGCCTCCCTCGCGTACGGCATCGCTCAGATTAACGCATCTCTGGAGCCATGGAGGCTCATTCTTCTTCTCGGTGATTTCATAGGCCCGTCTAGCTATTTCTAGTACTGATCCTAGCTATAGAGGGTGCTCCCGCCATCATCGTTGCGCCTTTCGTTTACTTCTCCCTTGCCGACTCTGCCCAGAAAGCCAAATTTCTAACCGAAGATGAGAAGGAGGCAGCAACTGCTCGACTCGGCACGAGAGACACCACCGAAAAGACAAAGCTCAACTGGAAGCAAGTCACAGCCGGCCTCAGCGACTACCAGCCCTACGTGCATGCTCTCATTCACTTCTGCTGCAACTACTCATTTGCTGGTCTCGCCAATTTCCTTCCGACTATTGTGCAGGCTTTGGGATACAGCAGCATCAAAGCTCAAGGCCTGACTACTCCTCCATATGCAGCCGCCTTTATCCTTTGTATCGCAGCAGCTTTCTTTTCGGACAAGTTTGGACACCGCGGATTCGTGATTGCCGGCTGCTCGGCCATGGCGGGTATCGGATACCTGCTCCTCGCCATTGTCGAAGACACTACCAGAATGAACATTCGCTACCTCGGAATATGGTTCGCCGTCATGGGCGTCTTTCCTTCGCTCACTCTTAATATCACTTGGCTTCTTAACAACCAAGGTGGTGAGACGAAGCGCGGCATCGGAATCGCAGTCATCGCCATTTTGGGACAATGCAGTTCGTTCCTCAGCAGTGCCATGTATCCCAAGAAGGACGCGTAGGTGTTTTCTCGCCTTCTTTCATCAAGGTACTAACATGTTCAGTCCCTTCTTCGTGCGGGGCTGCGCCATCGGCTGTGCCCTCACTTTCATGATTACGATTCTCTCTCTAGGCTTACACTTCAAGCTCGACCACGAGAATCGCAAGAGGGACCGCGAGTTTGGGCCGGTCGAGGACCATGAACAGCTGGACGTGACTCTTATGGGAGACAAGCACCCTAAGTTCCGGTACCTCACTTGAACCTGTCTCATCAGAACATTAAGAGCAACTCGGATCTTGTTCTTGGGGGTTTAATGAAAGCAGAAAGATTTCTAGGCTTGCTTCAACTCTCAGTGACCTTGATTATTTGCTAGCGTAATTCCACAATGTTCTCTCTTTCTCTTCGATTACTCCAGATCCCATTATGGCCGGGCTTCGGTCACCAGTGTTCTATCGTGCCTCTTCATTCTCGATGGCTACTTTCATATCCCTCACACGAAAGCCTCATAATAAATCAACACATTCCTTCACAAAGACTCAGTAGAAATAAGACTTCCTTTTAGTAATCACACGCAATATGAAAAGTGTCAGTGTCTTACTCCAGAGGGACGATGCTTCTCGGTCACATAATAGAGTGGGTCTTGCCCAAGCGATAAAGACTCATTGGACAGTGTGGATATATGACGGAGATAGAAAGAGTATTCTGGGCTCTGATTTGAGAAGGTCTGGGCGTGACTGGCCGCTAGGCCAATAACGTACATAGTGGAGTCAGCGGTGGAAATGATGAAAGGAGGCCAGTTTTGGGGGTTTCTCCTACCTACCTACCCTACATACACAGGTGGTGCTTGACGGCGCCCCGTTCATCCGTCCCTGTTGTACTTTTAGGAAGACGTTAGATAATGTTTTTCATTTATCTTTAATATCACAAGCTAAATTACGATTCTTTTATCTATTTATATCTCATATAAAAAATTCCCGTTGCAGGGAAGAACAGAACCCATTTTTTGGATCAATAACATGCTTCGCCGATTGAGCTTGGGTGAAAATCGCAGTTGAAGCAAAAGCTAGGATTTCAGAAAGCCAATCGGATCTTCTCGGAGGGTTTATCCGGAGAGTTCGGCCAATCAGATATAGCACACTTCCCTTGGTGGAGACCAGCATGTGAAGCCGGGTCTGTTAAGAGGTACATATGTCTCAGGCAAAGTTTTATGCTAGTATAAGAACTTCTTATCAGTATCCTCCCAGCCTCCTCCGTTCTCACGCCTGAGTTCGATACTCTTCTGAGGTTAGGAATCACAGACTTATCGAAACACCAACCTACGTCAATGTTGAGCCTCTCTTTCGTTTTTATGATTAAATGCGAATGAGGGTTTGCTTAATGGAAAAAGGAACGGACTTGTAAGACAATGGCCAAGACTCCTCAGCCACAATCTCCGGGTGATTGGCAACCTTGTCAACCTTGCAAGCATGGATCGTTACCAGTTTGTACGGGTCTGAGTAAATACCTATCTTGTTAAATAATTACTCTGGCCACAATGTTGCTCATGATGAAACGGCACTGCAACCTGGCGGACTCGACGCCATGCGGAGTGGGAGGATATGGCTTGTATTCGATTCGTCTGCATTGGAAGAGTCTTTCCCTGGACCTTTATGAGCCGTCATAGACCACAACACTAAATAGAAGTTGTGCGTGTTGTCTTCAAAGTGACAAATGAGCTGTCGTGCTCCCCGAATACTATAAAACAGTCTGTTGAAAGCGCATTGGTCAATTTGCCCACAATCCCCAACCTGGTTGTATTCAGTCGGTTAGCCGGAAAGTCTGTCTGCAGTTCACCCATTGGTGAATTATATAGCAATGAACCTGCGGTAGAACTGCGTAATGGTAAGAAGACATCACTATAAATATGCGTCAAGTTCATCTGGGCTCAATGCGCCATCTATTGAAAACTAGATCCTAGATAGTCTATCATAATGCCTACTCAGGAAGAGCAACAGAACCTCGCCGTCGTCACCGAGTACTTCGACGCGTACTGGAACAAGGCCAACCCCGAGATTGTCGACAAGCTGTGCGTAGACGACTTTGTTATCAATTATCCCATGCATGGCCCTCGCTATGGCAAGGAGGCTGCTAAAGAGATGATGCGAGGATTGAAGGAGGTGAGTTATTTCTCCTGTACTGTCGCTGGCAATGTGATATCCCTGCTGACTATCACAGGCTTTCCCGGATATTTCCTTCCGCGTCTGCCAGCATCCACTCATCGCGAGTGGTCCCTACGTTGTTGGTCGATGGATCGGCGGTGGGACACATACCAGTGTCGCGATTAGCGATTTGGCAGTTGGTTCCCTAGACCACGCCAACACCGGCAAGAAGATTTACTTCTCTGAAATCACTGTCTTCACTCTGAGGGACGGCAAGATTGTTGATGAGACGGCTGAGGAAGGTACCTTGACTGCGCTGCAGCAGCTCGGTCTTGTTGCGCAGCCTAACCCCGGCAAGGAGATCAAGTATCTTCATGAGTGATAGGCCGTGGATGAATAAATTTTGGCGAGAGACTGATGTACATGTATTGAAAAAAGTGACTGAATGTATCTTGCGTTTGATAAACGTGTTCAACATGAATAGTGCATGTACTTGTGATAGGCAACTGGAGATGAGAGTTTTAATGCAGTTAGGAACGGGTGTGATGTCGTGCTCGTATTTCGTTCAAATATCAAAATGGAGTTTGTATAATGGAACTGAAAAGAATAAAAGAATACAAAATATGACCTCGGAGGTCCCCCAAAGCCATGGGGGACTGTCCCAAATATTATGACGCCCGCGAAAGAACAAACCAGTCGGAACAAGCAAGAACTCCAGCAACCTTGGAAACAAACCCCTCATCTATGCTCAAACTACACATTTTGTCATTACCATCCCAGAGCTATGCACGGGCAACTTGGTAATACGCCCGTCTTGTAAGTGGAATAATAAGCGTCCTCTCAATAGCGCTTGATTATGTCTTCGATCTTGTCCTTCTCGAATTTGATAGCCTGAATTTCGGCTTCAGCACTTTTCAGTTCAATGCGGAAGTGTTCTGTCGTCTCGTGCATCTGGGACCTGATAGTCTGAAGGTTGGCCTCAGCCACAAGTAGTTCCTTGCTGAGCTTAGTTACCATCATGGTCACGGTCCAAGGATCCATCTTCTTTGTCCACCACCCGGAGAACCACCCAGAAGATTTCTGCTCCTCTGTCGAGTCCGAAACTTGCCTCCGCTTAGCTGGGACATCAGGAGTAGCGTCAGAGGCCTTGAGCTTGCGCTTGTTCGAGGTAGCAGGAGGAACCATGGACGAAGCCAAGGGATGCTTGGGCCGGCTAGATTTATGACTGCCAACCGAAGAAGCGACATTAGCCTTCCGAGGCTCTGGTTCTGGACTCTTGAACAACGATTTAGCACTTCGCAAACCGCTGGGACTGGTCCATTGAGTGAGTCGATGATTTGGCCGCTTCGAGCGCGTCAAGACCTTCATTTCCTGAATGAAATCAGCGCGACGCTTAGCCGGGTCAAAGTCCGCGGAACAAGAATAGCCTCTGGCAAGCGCGATGACGTTGGAAATGGCGATAATGCTGCTATCATTGTTCTATTGGTATTAAGGGTGATTACCTATTGATTAGTGGGGAATTATGGGGTCTCGTTTCCGCACGTAATAGGTGTTTATTAGATTGTGATATGATAGACCACTAGGCCCCGTATGACCTTAAGGTTTATCTTATAAGACGCGTATGTATAATAAGTGAGCTATAAGTAGAGCTCTAGATAGATGTTCCTAATGTTGGAAGGGGTTTAGGACCGTTGATGTGATGGCACCTTTGTATTTGTCCTCTTGGTTACCTCTTACCCTATAACCATATGCAAGGGTTATCGCAAAGAATCGGTAGGTTATTGGTTAGGCAGAAGGAATGACGTCTGAGGTTAGTATATTGTGCTATATTCTGCTGATACTCTTAGATGACTCTAATTCTGCTTTACCTAGGCTAATTTTAGATGTTTGTTACTTATGATAGCGCTGACGAGAAGCTAGGTTTATAGAAGACACTTACGTAGCATGCGTCTTAAGTGTGGTTCCCTCGCATAGAAGGGCAATCTGAGCCTTCTTACGAGCTTGTCTAATCATGCGGAAGAATGAAAAATATCTATTTCGGTCACTATAGTGCTGAATTTATAGTCAGGCGGGCGTCATATGGCCCATATGACCCCGGTGGTTGTTTCCTCATCGTCATAGCTATAACCTGGGTACGGGTCGTGACTCGAGATTACTTGATGGTCGAGGAGGAGCCTACTGATTGGTTCCGAATGAGTCCTATAAATAGCTTCCGAACCGACTTCGCCCTGCGCGTTGATACGAAAAACGCTAGAATTGACACGGAGGTATTATGATAGTACCTTAGTGAAATATATCGAATAAGAAAAAAATGACTTTAGTGAGATAGAGTAACGTCGACTATAGGAAATATAGATAAAGATGCTAGGAAGCGCTCTCTAGATATATCTATATATGATTTAGGTATCTAGGGCCACCTCGGCTAATATGCGTTAAATAATAAATTAGGAATTGATATTAAGCTATTAGAGGTCCGCCTTAGCCCCCGTGCGCTAGACCCATACGCTTAGGAATTCCTTTTAGAAAAGGAGGAGTTCCTACGCCGAATTTTCGCTAAGAAGCTCAGTAACCACTCTATTAATACTTATAAATTACTCTATAATAAAGTCGGAGTGACCTTTGAGGCAATATCTAAAGCACTATTAGCCCCGAATCCCGATGTGGGCATATTAGTACGTAAGATTAGAGTATAATATGAAAAATAGTTATTAATCTCGATCGTAGTTAGGATATTTAGAAAAAAGCTTTATATTGAAAATAGCTAAACTCGAGAAAGAAACTACGAGGCTCTACGTAGAGTTATGCGAGTAAAGGAAAATAGCAAATGTGGAATCCGAGCTAAGAAAGGAAGTAGAGATCTGGGTCGATTAATTGCAATGGAGTTATTCCCACCTCAAAGAATAAGTTCATAGATATGAGATGGAAGTCAAAGACTTAAAGAATAATCTTTCGGTATACTATTAAGGGCTAGATTAAGTATTACCGGTATTAGTAGATTTAAGAGTAAGGAGTAAAAATAACTAAATATTACTTCTTATTCTAAAATTTCCTGCATCTTACTCCCCCTATTAGTCTCTTTCCATCGCTAAAAAACACTCAGCTAGGTATAAATAGCCATGGTT